GTCTCCTCCTGTAAGATCAAACTGTAACAGGATCATCAAAGCTTAGCTGAACATTGCCATTGTCCATACGCTCGTAGCCTGTCTAGCAGGCGCTGGCTTTTTTGCAGGCTAATACTCCGAGTTTTCTTGTACGTCATAGGACCTACAGCCATTTTTCCAGAGTCCTATCGTACATACATACACACATTAAACGTTTAATGAGGGTAGCTATTTCTGTTGATTTCTGTGAGCTAATATTACAGTTAAGTAATTAATAAGTAAGTAAGTACAGAATCACGGGAAAAAATACAATCATTTTTAAACAGGAATAAGCAGAAAAGACGATTTAAAAACATTACTCTAAGACAAATTTAGAAGTTCTAAAGTGATTCGTGAGTGCGGGCCAAGATTTGGCTTCCATTTTTTTTAAAAGCCGGAATTAAAGTCATAGGAAGTCGTTGATATTTAAGGTAGGGACGGAATATCGGTTCCTCTTAACGAATTGGTGCCAAGATTAAATATGTTTCAAGTATTTTGGGTATTTGCCAAATTAAAGACTTTTAAACCATATGAATTATGATTTAATGCGTTGGGTTTTTAGGGTTGTTCCTGTTTATTTAAGTAAACTGCTGTTTAGCCTGCGTAGCAGGCGCTAGGAAATAAATGGGTGCAAGAAAGAACGGGCGCGCGCGAGGGAGACACGCGAGGGTAACTGCTGTTTATGGCGGAAATCTCAGCCGTAGCCGGAGCCCCTAACTAGGTTGTCATTAATTTCACGGTGTTCACTTTTTAGTCGTATTTATATCTGAACCTGACTTTAAAAAAAATCCTACTGACTATTCACGCAACTTTTCTTTTTTGTGTGCTGGTTTGTGTTATATATTCAATGCTATTTTAAAAATAGATTTGAGAATATTTAATTGTGCAGTAGTTTCACAACCTGATTCTGATTGCCAAAATGGCCGGAAGGCGTTTTTGTTCGCGATCCGAGACCAGGCCGAATTATAGCAAATTGCTGTAAATACTTAACGTCGCCTTATTTGTCCAGTGGTTGTAGAATACCCGGTTGGCTGTCGTATTCGAGCCTCGGGGGACCGCTGTGGTCTTTAAAACGATGATCGCGTCATTTAGCAATTACGGAAAGCCGTTGGCCTTTTAAGTAAATCTTTCATGTCAATTTGAAGGAATTGTAAAAGAAACCACACTACTTTTCGAAATTTGTTGGGGGACAGGGCCTTGTCGAGTTTTTTTTTTTTTTTTTTTTTTTTTTGGGGGAAGTGATTAGTAGGGTCCATAGCAACTCTTGAGTGAAGCCCCCTACCAAATTAGGCGTAGCTAATAAAATCTTAACCTCGCTCTATACAAGAGAGTTCGTTTCGCGTTTTTCGTGGGATGGCCACCCATTGACAGAACTTGTCACTGTTCACATTGCATACCGAGAATATAGTACGCAACTAAAAGCCGGTAAGAATAAGTATAAGTCGACTTTCAATAGTCCAGTTTCGAGTTCGCGATGACCGCTGAATCAAAGAGGTGAAGACGCATTTTTTACAGGCTAAGCCTCCATCTGAAGTATTATATTCACAAATTCCAACGAGAAAAAGACCTGTTTATTACTCTGTCTATTGTGTATATTCAAATTTCAAACAGTTACTTGCCAGAATTTCTTAATATTTTACTTTATGTCGAGGCTAACCCTGTATGAATGTGTCGTTAATGTTTGTATTCGACGGTCATTTTTTATTCGAAACTGGACTGCTATAGTCTATGAATACTGACGTCGGATAAATTTGCGCGGCATATCTAATTCGCGGAACCCACAGAACCTTAAATAAAGCAAAAAAAACCACATGCACCTGAATATGGCGTAACCCTTTCACAGGGTAGGGATTTCTTAGTATGGGCACTAGCCTCCCCACGTGTAGCCGTCAAAAAGCCCATGCAACTGAGGTTCAAATACACATAGTATTTTATCAGACTTTACCTTTTGTAAATTTAATTCCAAATCGTAATCTGCAAAATTATTATGGAAGCGGTGTAAACATGCGGTTTATACCTCATCGCACGGGGGTCGGAAAAGATGTTCGGAAGCTCGAGTTCTCTTCTCACTTTCATTTTTTTAAATGTAAATAGATTATAGATTTTTTTTTACCGCTATTAGAAATTTAAACCGTCTGAGGAGTGTTTCTTTTTCTTCCGTGATCACGACATAATTTAATTGATATTATCAATGCGTGCTTCACAGTTGGTTACCTTGGCCGCGTGGTTAAAGTATCCCGGCCGAAGCTTTTTGCACGCGAAAGGGTGTGTGCTCCATACCTCATTTGTTTTTTAAATGGGACGTAACATACGATGGATAGGATATATACAGCAAGGAACCAAACGCAGTCTCCAACATCATTTTAAGTCTACTGATATAAGTATCTCAGTATGAAAAAGGCTGGTCTCAAGTCGTGGAGGTGCGAACTAGAGACGCGGAAAGTAGGAAGGAAAAGAGGAGGAAAACCCGAGAGAAGAAGACATTGGTACGCTAGACTCGATTTCTGGTTTACTGACAGTGAACACTCTGTTTGATTCACATTCTACATTCTTACGTATGATCCGATTTGTTTCACACTGCGGGAGTCTGTTTGTGTGTAATGGACAACCTTCACACTGCGAGGACCAGAGCCTCCTTTTGTACGAATTAAGTTAGGTTTCTTGGAAACTAAGACCACAATATGAACTGACACACATACTACTAACTCCGCGGTATAGCCAGTATCTTACGCATGCGCACAGCCATATCAACCGGCATTGGCAGTCATGAATAACTGTTTCGCCCTTGTTTGGACTCATTAGCATGGTATAGCCAGCACGGTCTCACTTACGATCACAAACCCTGCATTTTACTGCGAATCGAGGCGTGTGCAAAGCACTGCGTTAAGCGTCAGCTCCACCGTACACATTTGGTAGCTGTTGCCTGGCATTGTGGTTCTGGGAAACTGCCCACCTACCCCTCCTCGTGTTTACTCCAGATCCCTAGATTTGCAACCAACCCAACTTCACTCTCTACGAGCGTTTTTCTTCAAAACTAAAACCCCATTTACACGCGCCAAAAAAGTCGGCACTACACGCCAAATTTTTGGCACCGTGCCTCGTTTACCCGTGCCGAGGTATTCTCGGCACCCCTAAAATTTTGAGCACTGGTGCCACATTACATGTGGGACCGATACGTTTACACGTCAAAAATCGTCAGCACGGTGCCAAAAATTTGGGGTACCGTGCCGATTTTTTTAGCAGGTGTAAATAGGGTTTAAATAAGGTCTACGAAAAAATTTAAGTATATTTTTAGGCGAATGAATTTTTGAGTGTATTGATCACTAAAAGACTAATTATTTAACGTAACGTTAAACTACATGGAACAAAACACCGAGTACCCAAATACCCAATGTGGTTAAACAACTGATCATGCGCAACACATCCCTTGCCATCTCCACGTGGAGTTAGATAGGGACTCCATTAGCGACTCTGTAAGTATTCTAGCCATTTTTTTTTTCGCTTCTTAAGCATGTATTTTTGAATTTAACACAACTGATAAGGGAACCTCAGTTGGGCGTTTTATTTCAGGCTACCTGTGCGTAGACTAGTGCCCATACTACGCCTGATATCTTGATCAGTCTTATGACCAGTCTTAACGATGTGCCACCATGTTCAAGTGAACAATACCCTCTGTGCCTCACACCTGGGTAAACGTTTTTGTCCACTTATCCTGCTAGTCTAATACTTTGCAAAAGTCCAAAAACGTCACTTATAAAGTTCCTTTTCATTTTATGACTTTTCCAAATACATCTCACATTTAAGTCCAGCCTCCAATCATGCCCTCCCTACTTCTCAACATGTCTCTCGCGGTAAGATGTTCTTTTTTTGCCCTCTCATCTCAAAGTCTTTAAAGATTTATCAAAGATGTCCGAACGGCCATTTTCACTGTTATTGCAGGTACTCCGTCGTACCGGAAGGAGCTTAAGCAACGACGACGGCGACATCAACGAGAACGGCAGAAAATCAATAGGTTTAGAATGGCAAAACAATAACTTTGCACGTGAATCACTCTTTTTTGTAAATTTCTTTGCCATCGTTGCACGACTACGACGTGAAACTTCCTGATTTCACGTTTTATGGAGGACGTGAACGTTTGTAAACTCAGATACAGCCCTTTAGAATTCAACTCCTGAAAAAAAAATAAAGCCATCATTTGACATATTATTCAAAGAGCTGGGATAAGAGCAATGAAGTTTGAATTCAATTTTTGGGCGACGTTTCCTCAGCCGTTGCCGTCGTGGTTGCTTAAGCTCCCTTTAGAGCACGGTGAATGGGAAAATGAAAAACAGGAACAAAGCTAAGAATTAGAAATAAAGTCACTGATAGGGCTAGGGTTCAAGTTAAGTTTTGTTCCCATTTTATTTATCTGTTCTCCCTGCTCGTTAACCGCTTGTGAAGGCAAATCCACAAAGACAAACCAGTGAGGGACCGCCGGATCTGGACCTGGATCAGTAAAATCTTGAGTACCAAATTTTAAACGTAAAACAGTAAACTGATCCTTACGGCAGGAAGAGTGATAGAAAAAATAAATAAATAAAACAAAAATAAAGTGAGGACTTACATTTAACCGATAGTTCGGTTTGCAACACTACCCTTCAACGGGGGCTATAAATGATTCACCCTTTTCTATCGCTTGCAAGCTCCCTTGAGCACTACACCGTTATGTTTCGACCACATATCACATAGGTATCGTATAAATATCAGTAAACGTTGAAAGTCTTAGGGAAAAAAGTTTTCATTTTTATTTCTATATTTAATAAAGATTAAAAATGTTCTGGGCGTATGGGTGTTACAGTTTCATACAATACGCTACTTTCTGGGTTATATAAGAACGTTAATTACTGTAGTTCTTCACTTCCTTTTCGAAATAAATACGGTGCATTTTAGCTTGCGTTGCAGCCGGCGCACGCATTAGGGAGTTTAAGATGTCAATACGGCGTCGGCAACAAGAACGTCAAAAATCCAATAGGTTTAGGCTAGCAAAACAACAACTTGCACGTGCAACACGCTTTTTTGTATATTTCTTTGCCGTCACTGCACGACTACGACGTGAATTGCCTAATTTCACGTTTTATCGACAACGTGAACATACAACGACGAACTTTTCTTTCTCTCTTTAAACTTGAATATCTTTCTTAAGAATTCAACTGCAGGAAAGCTTGCCCACATTGGACAAAGTGAGCTAGTTGGGATAATCGCGCTGAAGTTTCAAAGAACGCGAAGTCACATTTTAAGTGACGCTTTCACCGTCGTCGCCGTTGTGGTATCTGAAACTCCCTATGGTTTTGACCATTGGTATACAGTCGAACCTCCCGTAAGCGACCACCCAAAATGCAAAGACTGAGTGATCTCTTACGGGAGGTGGTCGTTTACAAGAATCGAACCGCAGGGGGTCTCTTCCGACAAGAGGTCCAGGCACATCTACTTTATGGACGATAATTTACTGCATGCAATGTCTAAGTTCGTATACGTGTAGTTCCATGTTGTCACTAAAGTTCTTTGTATATTCTAAGTAACATAGTGCACACAGCGAAAATAGAGACCAGAGAATGAGTCGAGTGGTCGCTTACAAGAGGTTATAAACAATGGAAAATCATTAACCGTTAGGCCCAAGAAGTGGTTACGGTCGCTTACAGGAGGTGGTCGTTCACTAGAGGTTCCAACTGTAAGGCTTTGACAGAGAAACGTTTGGTGTTTTGAATTGGCGGTTGCTCATGGGAGGTGGTCGCTTACGAGAGGCGGTCGCACATGGTGGTTCGACTATTTTCCCTTCAGGGTGTCTGCGATGCAGGCTAGGTACATTGCTATTGTTATTCAGTTGGCTAGACACGTAAGTATAACGTAGTAAAATCCTCAAAATCATATAAAACTAAATAAATTACTTCAGACCTAAAACTTCTATAATCCGAACCAGACAAATATGTGGATAAATTGTGTTATTTCGATGAGGAGAAATTTAATCAGTTTTTTAAGACGCCGCCTGTTGCACCTTTGCGACCTTCCTGTGTTCCTTTGCTTTTGTTTTTGGACACTGCATTTCACACCAACTCACAGGAACCATTGCTGCTCCTACATAGGAAAAAAAACATACACAGAGTAAAAGAGCCTGCACTCATGGGCACTGTTTGCCCTCCACTAACTATACTATTTTTGTTACTATTTTCTCATTTTTTGCGGTGCATTTCGTCTCCGCCAAGGAAAATCCAATGCTTACTGCCACCCCCAACCCCAAAATAGGAGTAAAGACATTCAAGCTCCTAACTCTTACTCCCAATAGAAAAAAACACTGTTTAATGACGCTCCTTCTTAATTCCTTTGTCTCATTATAACAGCAATTTATTGATCAATCAGGATATCTTTGTTTGTGTCAACTTAATTGGATTACCCTGCGAGCAAAGGTTTCTAGTGTTTACGAAGTCATTTGTCTGGCTTGTCTGTTGCGTAGTTGCTTACGCAACCTACAAGCTACACGAACAACTTCGTAAATTGGATAGGACTTTTATTTATCATTTTATTTGTGAATGTGACGTCTCTATTAGATGCAAACTGTAGTTAATTTGTTATTGTAATATATCAAGCACAACTTGATACCTACTGTAGAATTAAGTGTGAGAACAGAAAATATTTTTCATTTCAACCATATTTATCATCACTATTATATAGTCCTTATGCTTGTAGTTAACTTACACAACCTTCTTACCCGCCTCACTCTTGGCGAACACGACCCCTAGTTCATTTTCAGCTGTTGACAGAAGATAAGTCTGTGTATGAGAAGTTAATACTCGGGCTAATACTATGTCACCAGGGCGGAATGACTTGTACATTTCAACTTTGTCCTTTTCTGTTGCTCTGACATCTTCTTTTCTGATTGTTCCTTTAAAAGTTTCTTTCAAAGACGTTGACTCCACACCAAGAATTGCAACCTTGCAGAACCTTGGATTTGTACTTATCACCTGATGAAGATAACAAAACATTGGATGCAATTAAATTTAATATATTTAATAGTGTCGCATGAAGGATTCTAAAAAATTACACCTTTTTCATCTATCGGGCACCTATGCTTGAAAGTCTAGTCACAGGTTACTCTGTGGTGGAGTGGTTTGTGTGTCTAAATGACCCATAGAGCTATGAGTCCAGGTAGAGCCACTCTTGCTGAAAAGGTTGAAGAGTAGAGACCAGACTAAGTGTGGTCACCTGTTCCTCCAGGTTGGGGGTTGTGCTGAGAGCTGATAACCCCCTCCCATAAAACCATATTATTACAGAAACCAGAAGCAGGACAAATTCACTTAATCGAGGGAACACTGTGACTGGTCCTAGGAGTGACCCGATGATGCATGGGGTCACAGCCGACAGGATAACCTTGAGCTGATGGCAATCACTGGGCAAAGTGAGGACCCCAGCAACTCTGATCACCAAGAAAAGTGGAAACACTAGATGTGAAGGTCTTGTTTGCACAATGCATGAAGAAGATTGGTGAAGTGATGTGAGGCGAGGCAGACCATTCTGAACAACACAGCAACCAGTTTGAACTTAGGCTGCTATTTTAATCAGTGTGGCCTCAAGACCACTGAATTACCACCTCTCATCCCCACCCTCATTCACAAAGCAAGGGAAGGGAATTTGTCCATGCAGGCTACAAAACATTTTACCTGATGCACTCCAAAATCATTCAGCAGAGCAATTACACCTGACTCCCAGAAACTTGAGCCCTTGGTAACTTAAAACTCATGCTAACTTGAACTAAAATTGATTTTTCCTGGACTTGATCCATATTTCTGCTGCAATTTCACTTTCAATAACTCTAATCCTCACGAAGGTGAAACTTGCTCTCACTCAAAGCAATAATATGTCCTTTCAGGTCACTCTTTTTATAAATTTACCCTCTATTACTCAAATTGAACTCCTTGGATAAAAAGTCAATATTAAGTGTATTATTGGAGTGCTACATGTATTCTCACTGTACATATAATGAAGGTGTCTCGGAAACATGGCTGCGTTCTACCAATCCCAGAGTTCTCGGCAATCAGGGTTGATTACGATCCTTTGTGGTCTTTTGCAACAAATTTGGGTAGTATGGAGCAAAATCTCAGTTTGACGGGATTGTCTGTGAGAAGCACTTTTTGCCCCTCCTACCTCCCCTGGTGGCAGTGACCACATCATCAAGCCACCTCCCTGCAAATCTTTGCCAAAGAAGTCATGGATTCCTCCCATAACTTGGTTCACCGTGATGTGACAAAGATATGCAGTGAGGATAAATTAATACCTTGCATGTAACAACTGAATCAGCCTCTGGTACCACGTGCTTTTCTTCTTCTCTTATCACACACATCACAGGTTTCTAAAAGGTGGAAAGGAGAATACTCAAGCCAGTCTACTGTCACATATGTATGTCAAATTCACTGCTGTCAACAGGTCACTAAACCACCACCCTCTGTTTTGGGTCAAGACACTGATTCAAGGTGACATGATCACCTTGGTCACGTTCTAGGTGACAGATTCAAGTCCTACCTACAAGGTCTCAAAAAATTCATCCACCAGCAATCAGTCTTAAAAATTCACCCTGAACGACCCCAACGGCTAAGTCTGATTCCTTCAAACGGGCAATTACAGGTGGCTCTTTTAAAGTTCAATACACTGATCTTGGGAGAACGTAAGCTTTATACCTCTCCATTTTTTTGCTCTTGTAACTGCTTGTAACCTGCAAGACTTGCGTAAACATATCCATGGCGAGTGTACGTTCCATTTCCCGACGAAAATTGCTCCAAACTACCTAGTCTCTCTCCAGGAATAGCCACAAGATTCTCGAGTGTAGACACCATCACGATCTATCAACACTTTGGAAGGTTTAACCCAGAACGTCTGAAACTACGAGACAAGCAACAACCGCGTTGCGTCCACCATGTTGAATTTTGTGAAAATCCGCTGCTCGCTGTGAATGCAGTTATTTTTCAATCGTCGGTCCCAGGGTTCTCTCAGCTGAACTGCTCTCCGTTGCCATAGTAACTGACTCAGAAGCAAAGCAAAATGGCGGCTTACATTACAGCACATGATCGTTCTGTTTTAGCTAAGCCGGAAGACACTAAAGCATCTGTTACTCAAAATACGACTCATAAAGACATAATAGGTAAGTAAACTAGATAAAAATGTCTCAAAAAATTAACCGATGTTGTATAGTTAAGACCGGCACTGGACCCTTCATTTTGCAGAGAAAAATGGAGTGGTGTCAACTTGAGCTTAAGCTTAAATATTATTTTTGCTAATTAACTATCATGTTTATAATTTGGTCCTACATACTGGGTATAGGCTGAAAAATATGTACAAGATTATCCTCAACAAAAATTTAAACTTTTTTTGTAGTAGTTTTAGTTTAACCTGCTTGCCTTACTAAGAATTCTCAGTTATACGTAATTTGTGTGTGCAAGGTGCTTGGGATGCCAAAGCTAGTTGTACTGTCTTGATATCAGAACAGAGGTCGTCAGAAACAGGGGCCATCCCAGTGTAAACTGCTAGCATACCTGGTAACATGACTTGAGGTTTAAATTTTCCAGTCATGCTGGGAGTAAAGACCATGCACCAAATGTTTAAAAGGTGGTTAGCACTATCCAGCAGATCAATCACTATCTAGTGTATAGCACAATTGGTTTTCCTAAAACTTTTCCACTGGATAGTGATTTTTCTGGTGGATAGCGCTATCCATCTTTTGAACAACCGGGGCCAGCAATGATTCTTGGTGCAAGCCTAGTAGTGTACATGTATGCTCTCATATGTCAGAACAGTATCCTGGGCAGTACACCAGCATTTAAAGTAGATCGTTCTGTAGGTTTGGCACTGGGGTGGTAAATGAGCAGTCACTAAGAGAAGTGTTGTCATCAGAGGATCATAGTTTGTATCGAAAAATAGTTTTGAGTTTTATAAGTTTTGTAATATGCAGGAACAAGTCCATTTTAGGCTTTATAGTTGAAAAATATTGCACACAATTAGGAGTTTTCAGTTAAAAATTTCCCCATGGCAAAGGAGTAAGGGTCACAAGCTAATTATTTGTGAACTGTAAACTCAATTGACAGAGATAAAAAGCAACAGAAACTACTAACCCTGTCTGTGTATAACATTATGGGGTTTCATTTACCTTTCTGATTCTTCTCAGGGTAGACTTTTTGATAGTAACGAAATAATAAAAAAATTATGTAACAAACAAAAGGAAGAGTGAGACCAAATACACCCTTTTTGATTTCAGCAATAGGGAATGACCTTTACCAGAAACTAAAAGATGACCATGAGAGAGAACAGCAGCAGAAAGTCACAGAGGTAGAGAAGAGAGCATGGCTCTTGGCATCCGAGGAGAAAGCAAGAGCTGTAAAGGGAGCAAGAGAAGCTGCTGAACTAGAATTAGAAAAAGCCATGGCTGCTGCTAAGAAAGCTCAGGTGAATTCCCTTCTGAACATGCAATTTCAACATGTACTTGAATGGTTTTCCTACAGAGAGGGTGTAGGTCATTTTTTGTGCTGCACATCTGCAGTGATGGCGTATCCCCTTAGAATTTTGCTGGTTAGAGCACTTACTGCAGTAGCCCAAACAACAGGCTTGTGATGTGTCAGCACCAGCAATAATTAAGTTAAGCCCTAACATCTTTCAAGTTTCTACTCATACAAGTTTTTGTTTATATTTTACAAAAGAGGAGTCTGTTCAAATATGGATAAATTTAATACACAACTTGTGACTACAATGAAATCTTGATATAACATAAATAAATGAAATTATATTAACTTTAATGATATATTGGTCCCCGTTATAGTTAATTATTATTATCATTATTATAATCGTATATTATTTTGATGCAAAAGACCAAAACCCTGATAAAGCCTCCCTTTAAAGTGAATGATTTTTTGCACCCCTTGGCACTTCACTACTGCGCAGTAGAATTCGCATGTAGATCTGTGTTATTAACTTTTTAAGAGTATCCATCCCTGAAAACCATTAACACTTGGCCTGCATGCTTCTTGTTATAATAACACAGGAAAAGGCAGTAAAAGCAGAATCAAAGAGAGTTGAGGCACTGATGAAAAAACTTGCAGCTCAACAAGTTCAGCGGGAAAAAGAGGAAGGTCAAAAGAGACTTGAAGAAGCACTTGTAAAAGCCAGAGAAGAGTATATGATAGAGAAGGCAAATGCTGTACAGAAGGCTAGAGAAGAGGAACGAGTCATCGCAACTGAGGAGGCCAAAAGAGTGGCTCAGGTTGAAGAAGATAAAAGAAAACAGTTGATTTTAGCTGCAGAAAAGGAGAAACAGGTGAACATACATGGTAGCTGTAGTTATTAATTTTGTTTTTTTGAGCTGTCGACTGGCAATAGTGCAGCAATCAACAAATTACATCATATAAATCATGTTCGGTGGATAAGAATTCCCAAAGAAAATATACATTGAAGCACAGTACATGGTCCAAAGCAAGCAAAACATTGAACTGGTTGAGATCTAATAACACCACTTAAAAGAAATAAATTTGACCTTAAAATTTGAGCACCTGTGTATGGGTACCACGGTACCTCTATTGAATCGTTGGATGTTTAGGCAAGATTGTCGCATATCAGCAATATCAACAATATTATTTCTTTTGTGTGGTAGCAAGCTCAGCGCAACCACAACAACAATGAAAACAAGAAAATCAAAAAGGCAACAGGTGTAATAAGCAAAACAAAAACTCGTACACGCAGCACACTTTTTCAGGGTTCGCACAGTGTTGAAAAGTCCTTGAATTTTCTTCAACTTTGAATGTAGTGGCCTGGCAAGTGTTTTCAATGCTTTTTGGTTGTCCAAGGTGGAATATAAATCATAGCTCAGAGAAGTTAAAAGGGATTTGCAGGAAGCGTTTTTTGTTTTCTGCAATAAATAAGTATCAGTTTAACGACAAGTGAACTGAAAAATGTAGAGAAGTTGGTGGAGCAAACAGATAGTTAAAGCGTTAAAGTCCTGTTAGAATGGACTGGGAATGTGCATTTTTGTACAGTCTGTGAAATTACATTCGTAGCAGGTGGTCCTTGAAAATCGATTGTGGTCCTTGAAAAGTCCTTAAAAATGGTTGCAATGTTTTGTATGAACCCTGTTTTTGGTAGATTTCTTAGCCATCATTATACAACTAATGTTGTCGAAGTTGATTGGAATTGCAATGCCATCTTCGCTTCATCATTATGGTGATCGTTGTGACTTCGCTTTCATCTGAATTATACCCATACAGATCGAGGCTTAAAGTTATACACTTCAAAGATGGAGATGTTGTAGTTAATTTTTCATCGCAGCTAATTTTTGTTTTTCTTTTATTTTTGGGTATAGTAATGTATGCATGCTAATGAAATTGAAACAAAGGAAAAATAGAAATTACCTGGGATAAAAAGTTAATTACAACAGTGACATTGAACATCTCTACACAAGATGCTTGATCCCCATGTTTTCTTCTTTAATTTCTCGAGTAAAAATGCAGAACCTGATTGATTAATTATAGAAATTCTTATGTTATGCAGTGAAAAAACATCTTTTGCGGGGGTGACAAAAGCAGTTAGCACAAGGTAAAGTTGATTTTATAAGGCAAATGGAAGGGCATCATTAAAAGGCATGGCCTTGCTGGCTTCATTGCCATTAATCTGTCACTGCTAGAAGTTTGAATGTGCACTCAAGTAAGTTTAATTCTCCTGCTTTTTAGCAAGCTTTGAAGAATTTAAAGGAAAGATTAAAACAAGAAGAAAAACAGGCAGTGCTGGAAATGCAAGAGAAATGTAAAAAGGAAGAGGAGGAAAAACTTCAGCAGCAGAAGGAGGTCCATTTGAAGGAAGTAAAAGAATTGGAAAGTCGTATTGAAGAGCAAGTGAAACTCACAGAAGCTGCCAAAGATGACACAGAAAGGATTCTTGAAATGAAGGGTACTGTAGAAGAAAAGTTAAGAAATACCTTGACTTCATTTCAAAACTTTATAGACACAACAAAGGGTTTTAATAAAGGACAGTCTGATTTCATGTTACTGGACCCGTTAAAGGACTTACTAGAGGACAGCTGATGAGTTAATGTAATGCAAGTTTTTCGAGTTGGTTCTTCACTAGCTCTTTATTGTGTTGTTCACACAATCATTTACACTGTTTTAGGTTTTTCTTGTGTATATAGTGTGTTTCAGGAATTCCACAGATAGTGGAGGCTACATTACATAGAGGAGAGAAATCCATGTCTTGCAACTCCCTACTATCAGATTGCCTAGAACAGGATATTTCTTGTGCAGTCATGCATGCTTTATATTATATGATTCTGAATTTGACTTCATACCAGAATGAGGATGTAGTATATTCTATAATAATTTTGGAGATAAAGTTCCATAATTTAAAAATAACTTAAACATATGTGTATCCACATCACCATTGTCACAAGTCTTTTTTTAGTCTAATATTATGGTCCTCATAATGAAAATGGTGAAAGTGACCATGTTTATTTTTAATTACTCTGCAGGACTGTCAAAAGGGTTTGAAGCAGGCATTATAGCTAGTAGACATTCACCCATAACATCTTTTTTAAATGCCTGTGCTCACTCTCATTGTTGGTTAACCTTATACCTTCACCAATAACATCAAGTCTGCTGGGCAGTTAAAGTGGTCATGCCAGAAAAAAACCCTTTGATAAACTGCCATATTCCTCTTTTAAATTGCCCTGCATTAGCTTGTGAAAAAAAAAGAGAATCAGACTTTACTTACAGAGTTTACAAACACCCCCTCAATTAAGGTTAAAGTTTGTCTTGCCAAACATAACAGACCACTTTACACTACATGTACATAAAGATGAACAGAGGAATTTTACTCTGTTTGGAATCAGAAAATGTGTATTTCAAACAATGCTTGTTTCGAGTCCATGCAAAATCATTTGTGAAATTGATAGTGATGCTGTTGATCGGCAAAAGCTCAGATTTTTAAATTTTTTAAAAGGGACAGAAGTTAAAGTCCTCATTTGAACATGTTAATTTTTTAATTTCATCATGCTGCTGAAGGACAACTTGAACAGGAAAAGGGTCAATGGATTATTATGGCTCAGATCTTTATCACTCCACTAAAGACACTGACACACAAGTTTTAATGGTCTTATCTGTCAACAATAATTATGTTATTTTTCCATGATAATCAATCAGACATTTTCCATAATCGAGGATCACATCCACACACCACTAGCTGAAAATGATAGCTCGAATTGTACCACCAGGAATGACAAAATTAGTTCACAGGCATGAGATTGAAGACTCAAATCCGAAGGCATGAGATTCGTGCCTAAGCTTTTACTGTAAGAGTTGTCAGGAATATCTGAATGGTCAGAACTAGTCTGAGGAAGCTTTTCTCAAGCTTCTCATTTGTACAGAAAAAATTAAACAGACTGCATGTGCCACAATAGCAATGGACGAACACTGACATAGAGTGACCAAGTCAAGAAAGTAACAATAATATTTTATTCCAAGCTTTAAAAGCAAAATAGTCATTGCATGCAGAAAAAATTATTTTACAACAAAAGCTATAGACAATTAAACTCTAGCTCTTTTAGCATCTTTTAACTGTAAGATGATTTAACTTATGTGTGTACCTACTGTCTTGTTTTGACATTTTATGTAAAAAGTGATAATAACTAATATAATATTTGAACAATAATATATTATTGTTCAAATAACACGTTTGAGAGATCTTAATCCTAAATACCTTTCAATTTGATTTGATATTATGAATATTAAAGCACAAATATTTTGAAGATGGTTAGCATGACATTACAGGTCCTCAATGTATGTCTCTTCTTATCACAATTAACCATTTTCATGCTTTCAAACTTCAATGAATCTTTACTTCCAGTTGAGTTTGGAAACCTAAAAAATTGTGCCATGATATATACACTTTTATTGTTCACTTGCATAGAAAATTTGCTCTTAACAGATAAGTGTGCACAAATTCCTACTAGCTGCTACTGTAAAGAAAAACATTGAAAAGGTAGACGGAAAATGAATGCACGTTAACTTACTGAAATCTATATGAGTCCTATAGTTTTTTGTTCTCAATGAATAATCAAGGATTTAAAAAAATATAATAAAAATTATACTGCATAAGACTTTCATAATACAGTGAAACCTGTATTGAGCGGACACTCTCGGGGAATGCTGTAGTGTCCGCTTAAAACAGGGTGTCTGCCTAATACAGATTTCGATAGATAACGTCATATAAGGTGTCAAATGCCATTTAAACTGAACAGTGGAAAGTTTAAGAATACTTCCAGAGATTTTGACGATATACGTTTGCATTAATTTCTTTATCAAAGTGGACCAGTTGATCATAATACCATAAACATAGATTGCAACCCAAATTTGAAGAAATCAGATGAGTGAAACAAGCTCTATACATTGCAAACAAAACGAAATAGGAAACACTAATCAAATATGTTCGTCAAGTCACGTTTTTTAATGTGAAAATAGAAAAATTTGTGGGTGGCAATTCCAGGCCATCTTTGCATTTCCGGTGTCTGGCATGTTGGGTGGTGGCATTTGATTACAAGTATCCGTTTAATACAGGTTGGTAACAGTAGAAATGACCATTTCAGGTACTTTTTAGGTGTCCGCGTCCGCTTAATAGAAGTGTCTGCTTAATAAAGGTTTAATTTTAAGCAAATAAGGGAAGTAAATTTTGGGACTTCGGCTACTGTCCGCTTAATAGAGGGTGTGGGGTAATAAGGTGTCCGCTTAATACAGGTTTCACTGTATCAGCTGGGAATCAATAATTTCAAGAAGTGCCTAATTTATATTTAATATAAATTTGGTAAAATAACATCTTATGTTAACCACTTTTCTATTGCCTCTTCAAACACTTTCTTTGTTCCATGCCAATGGGTGTGGTTTACTCCTGAAAAAGTGTAGCGATGAAGTGATCCTCTTTCATCCAAACTGCGCAGGCCAAATGTATCTTCAAGATATATCTAAATAACATTACAAGCAAAATACAACTTACTATTAAAGAAAATCAAAGATTGGACCATATATAAAAGGGAGCATTATATTAAGCATTCTTTTGAGTTTTTTGTTTCTTAGTTGTTTCCTTTTACAAACATTTGTGTTTATCATTATTAATATTGATATGGACTAAGAGTAAGACATAGATCACTGAAAGAAATTTTCATTTTTTAATAGGGCAAAAAAACCAAAACCATAATTTTACACGTTTAAAATAATGTTATATGGCACTACCTCTTGATCCTCTCCTCATATAAATGCCCCCACTTTATCATGAATTTGAAATACAGTAAGCACCAGTTTTAAGTTAAGCACTGACTAATATTACGATTACTTCAGGCTTAGTAATGTTTGGCTAATATTACTGATTAACTTAGTTTGCCTATTGAACTTTTGTCAAACATTTAAATGAATATATAATACAGTATTAATACCAATCTAACAAGTCATACTAACCTGTTGCTTCGTCATGTCCACCACTGTCAAGTTCATGTTATAGAAGCAAAATTGGCTGAAAAATAAGATAATGCATAACTAATTCCATCAGGATTTTCAAGGCAGTAATGGAAGGGACTTTCTTCTGAGCACTGCCTGATCCCTCCTCCCTTATTATAATGATTGTGGAGAAGGAGTCAAACTGACTTTAATTTAAAGGGTAAAGGACGTTTTTCAAAACACAAGGTTACTCTGTCCACTACTTTAAGCACATGCAGGGGATCCTGCCATCAAGCATAGGCTACAAATACAGTAAGGTTCCTACAGGTAATGGAAAACCTGGAAAGTCATGGAATGTAAGAATTTTGTTTTCAAGGCCTGGAAAGGCATGGAATTTAATTTTCGGTCCTTGAAAGTCATGAAAAATTAAAGTTTTTGTTTGGTAGATTAGTTGCCGCAGGTAACAAGGCAAGGATAATGTAAGATAAAGAGGAGTAATTAAACAGCGCGGACAGCATGCATTTTGGTGGATATCAGAGTTCGTTTCTGTTGAACTGTTTAAGGTAAAACAATATGCTAAAACAAGTAAAGCTTTGAAAATTTTCGACAGTGACAGCTAAACCTAAGGTAATGGAAAACTAGAAAAGGTCATGGAAAAAGTCGTGGAATTTGAAGAAACCAAAAGTGTGCTAACCCTGTACAGTGTATCAGTCAGTTATTACATAATGACCAACTAAAATCTCCCCCTGTCCAACAAAATCCAGGACATGATCACTGGAAAGATCAATGACCAAAGACATGTCACCTATTTTATAGCAGATGATTTGCATAGTACTTTAAGAAATTTAAAATCAACGTAATATTTGACCCAAAAATGTTTTAGTTTTGTCTGACTGAAATGGAGACTTGATCGAATATTATCGCTTCTAAAATTATAAAAATTATTTGCAGGTTGAGATACTGTAACCAACCACTTATAATCCCTGGGCATATACAACTTCCTAAGGGGTTTTAGGAGGCCATGGAGGGGCTTATATCTGAATTGAAAAAGTGCTATATAATAAAAGCTACATATTTTTTGTCAAAGCTGATCAAAAAACGTTTGCATATTCCTGCTGTCTTTTAATAAAGCTTTAAAACATGACCTAGCAGGGGGCATATATCCAGGGAACTTATACGTGGCAATAATATGATGGTATGTCTTATGCACTTACATACTTTTGAGAACCTACAAAAATGTGGTACCAGCAAATTTATGCACTTTACCTAGACTGCCATGGTGTAATGACACCATCATCGGGTCCTCCAATCAGGACTAAGTTCTTGATCCGCAAAAAATTATCCTTGAATCTTTTACCATCTGAATAAATGAAACGATTAATTCACAGTTATCATTTATGCTTACCTATCAATGAAACTAACCAAAGGTTACAGAGTGCGGGCGACAACAATCAAAGGTCAAAATGTTTCTGCTCCGACGCTGTGCTTTGCGCAAGTTTCACGATGGTAGATGGTCAAAACATGCGTGATCAGATTACGAGTGATAGAAGGGCCAAAAACGCAAGTGATCAAATTGCGTTCTGTGCATTCCATTCATTCTTAGTGGAAGTCCAAATGAATACAGGCTACATGCATGCGACGCATGCATAATAACAATCTGGAGATTAGTATAGCGGGCTCCAATTATTTTTCCTGAGCTTTTTGTTTTTAAACTAATAAATCATGTGTGGGGTAATTCTGGTCAATTAAGTATCACCTGTTTACCTAGCATGGAGGCATGTATCATAGAGTGGTTAACACCTCAATCTCCGGATGTGGGGGTCCAGGTTCAAGCCTTGCCAGTCGCATTGTTTCCTCAGACAAGGAACTTTACTCCACTTTGTATCTCTTTACCCAAGTGTATAAATGGATACCAGCGACATACTGTTGGGGGTAACCTTGCGATGGACTAGCATCCCGTCCAGGAGGGAGTAGCAATACTCCTCGGCATGTTTCATGCTAAGGAAACTAGGATAAGCTCCGGCCGTTTGGGCCTTTGGCTTGTGTACACCTTTACCTTTTTACCTTCTTACCTAGCATAAAAAGGTGATAAATCTAGAGGAAATGCACCCTGGCAGCTTATATCTAAAAAACTGTCACAGTGAATAAGTATAATCTATTAACTTTATTCATACCTGTAACATTGAAAAACTTTGAAGCATTGTTATTATTCACTACTGGCAAGAAGACATTATACTCGTAATTCTTGTCTTCATGATATGGATCTGTTGTAAAAAAAATGTATTGTCACTGCAATGGCTAATCTGCTTTCTTAGATCGAACATCTTATTTGAGAGATGAAAAGATACAAACATTATTGTAACTGCGTCATGATTACTATCGTCCTCTCCCTGTCAGTCAGGCTTTTCAAGGATAGTCACCAGTGAAACAGAAACAGTTTTTATGCATTTTAAGGCCAGCTCAGTTTATCATTAAATTTTGCATTCTTACCATTCCAATAGTTTGCCAGAGAAAATTTGTTTTGAAAATAGTTTGTGTAGAAGAATCTGAAAAATAAAACAAATTGGAACATTCTCTTATAGAGACACAATAGATTTAACTATTTTGGGCATAATTTCCAAAAGATATGGATTGTTGTTGTACTGAGTACATGGAACAGGAACTTACAAGTAAAGGTCCTTTCTGGCTGCTGGAGGAAGGTAAGGCTTTAGATAGCTGGTATCTAAAAACAGGATATTGTGTCTTTAATTAATAATGAGTTATTGCGAATATATATAACAATAACATGTATTTCAAAACAGCCCAAGAGTACTTTAGTTTTAAGTTGTGTTTTAACCATAGCAGGATTAGCTCATTTGGTAAAGCGCTTGAATGCAGAGCAGGAGGTTGTGGGTTCCATTCCCTGTGCAGAATCAATACTCAGGGTCTTAGCATAACTGAGAAATCAAGGTGCCGCCTTTGCCCTGCAAACAGATCTATAGACCTTCACATGGCTTGGATGATGGTTCCGTCTAGATCTGCAGTAGGAGATTTAAAAATAGTGTTATCTTGTTTTTTTTTTCATTTAATTTCTTTGTAACTTCCTAACTACAACTAACCTCCATATTGTCCCATTTGAGGGCTTGAGAGTGAGATGAAACTATCAACATTGTGATCATCCATGGTCTCTAGGATAGCACGAGCTGTAATTCCACCTTAAAATAGAAAAAGAACAAGTTGTATGAAAAACGTGCTAGTAAATTTCATAGAAAAGGTAACATTTTCCATGGCTGTATACATGACCACTCCACCCCTTTAAAATGTCGCTATATCGCTATGTTATAGGTCAAAGTAAAATTCAGATTATCTGTGGTTAGCGCATTGGCCTTGAAATCCGGAGGCCGTGAGTTCAAGTCCCACCCTGACCGCTAGCTGGTTTTGTTCTCGGTTGTCCTGAGTTGAAATCTTCAGGGATTTGTACAGAGTCTTGAATTCTTGCTAAAGTCTTGAAATTTGCCCAGCAATTTTTCAGACCTGGAAATTGTCTGGAAAATAGAGATAAATTCTGGAAAAATGGTAAAAAGTCTCAAGGTTTTTTTTTTCAAAGATACAATTTACAGGTGAATTTTTTTTTCAAATCTTATTCAATCTTGGCAATACGTTTGCAGCGCATCATGAAAAAAGCTTTGTTCCTGCTTTTTTAGGGTCTATATTGATCACCTATTGATAACCTTGAGTCTGGAAAAAACATTGTTTGGGAAAAAAGTCTTGAATTTTGGATCCAAAACTCTGTACAAACCCTCAATCCTTGGCCAAGCTTGTAAATAGCCAACTGGCTTGCCTCCTACCAGTTGGGATTCTTAAATCTTACAGGGGTGAGGGGCACTTCTCCAGACCTGGAGATAACAAGGGCTGTCTATGGAAAACAATTTTTCTTAGGCTTCTGGGCCTCTGTTTGTTCTAAAAAAAGAGGGGGCCTGGGCTCTCCCCTAGATCCACTACTGATAGAATACTTTGCAGGTTACTGAATAGCCAGGTTATATTTTTTAGTATTTATTTTAGTATTTATAAATGTACATGTATCCACAAACCACATAACCAGCAGTTTCAGATTGTACTTTTATTACTGAATAAAAGCTGTGTGCAAGTAGTACAATCGAATGGTAGGGTATTCTGCAGTTACCCCAATTTCTGATCGAAAGCAGCGTGCAAAGAAAGTAGTGTCCGATAGCCCGGGGCTAGTGAATTTTGCTATGGGGTTAGTGAATTCTGTTATTAACTGGCCCGATGGGCAAGTGAATTTTTTTGAGGAATTCAAATTACAGAAGAACTGTGAAATCAATCTGCTCATCAAAACGTTTTGTGGGCTAGTTGAAATGATGTTTGGGCTAGTAAATGTTAGCTTCAGCTTGCCATAAAAATGACTTCCTTTGCACCCTGGAAAGTGAAATGAACAAAATCAATGTCCAGCGTCACGCTGGACCCGGAAGTGCTAAGTTCAAGCGCGGCGCTGGCGTTAGGTGAATTTGTAACAAGGCCATCAGATGCTCAAAATCTCTACCCACGGAATGCAAAAAGTCAACTGGTCAACTTTATAAAACACTTATGATGTTACTTTCCCTCGCCATTGTTTTCCCGAAACTACAGCAATATCTTGCATTGGTAGAGTGCTGACATATTTTATTTTATATTTTTCTGCGAGAACGGAATCCAAGATAATTCAATGCAATTATTTGCCTATCCATGTAGTACCATAATACCTTGAGAGAATCCAATAATGTGAACTCCATCTTTTGCTTCTCGCATGACGGATCGAACCACTTCGGTCATATTAGGTACTTGCTTCCACAACGGAGTAAAACTTTCCAGCTCCTCATACAACTTTATGAGCGTGATTTTGGTTCCTGGATGTGCCTGCGTTATAAAAGTAGCTAGATCTCCCATGTCTGACGCATGATCGAGAATTCCATGTATAATTATCACTGGTTTATAGCAGAAACTTTTGGACACAAACAAAAACATCACAGTCACGATGAAGTTCGCCATTTTGCATTTGGGACGGTTTTGGACTCGTTTAGCCGCTGATTGGCTTCATTGAACAGACTGACATAAACAAACCAATCAGAAACCTCGTTTTATTTGGGAAGAACCCTTGCCCTCCCATGATAGTTAGTGGACGATTTGGCGCCAACTTCAAGCAAAATGGCGGCGTCCACTGGATTTACAATTACTGCGTAACTGTTTTTTTTTTCATGAACATAGCGGCATGGATGAAAGGATTATTCGTTTGTGTGAAGAAAACAATGTGACCTCTCTCGTTCAGGCTCTGTCATCACTGAAAAGTCAAAAGGTAAGAATGCTGCAGCGGTAAATGTCAGTATTGTGGAATACCGATTTTTCGAACCCTAAAGCTTAAAAGAGAAATGAAAATTGGTTCGGAAAAAGGGGAGTTCGAAAAATCGGTGGTGACATTGAGTCACTCCTGTTTTACCATATTGTTGTCTTATTAGAGCCAAGAAGGCCTCAGACAGCAACGGTATTTATTATGTGTGAAAGGTTTGAACCCAGGAGTCATTTCAAAAGGTTGAGTTTGATGGGCAGCACTAAAACATGGAATCCGGGAAACGGAAACGGAATCACGGAAACGGAAACGGAAACGGAATACGGAATCAAATATCAATGATAGTAAATTAAAGAATTTCACATTACACAATTTAAGTACAATCCAAAGAGAATTTGTCTTAGTTTTCTTGGCAGTTCCCTTAAATATATTCTTGTTGGGGGTCTTGATAAGGTTTGCCGTAGTGTGGGTTACTGCACTGCAAGGCTGGTGAAAGTAATTTTGCGAGTAATGTTTATTCACGAGTTCATGGGTTGAATAATACAGTTAAATATTACTTTTGTAGCTAATTGTCAAGAATAGATAACAATTATTCACCGAAGTGGAGGTGGCTAGTCCTGGATATTTACCGAACTGCGAAGCAGTGAGGAAAATATCCACGACTAGCCACCGACACTGAGGTGAATAATTGTTTTAGTATATACTAAAACAGTGAGATAATTGAGCACAAAAATGACGATTTTTAACTCAAATACTGTTGCCAACGATTACAATTTTGGCGCGTAATGACCGGGCGGCCGCGGCCGTCGCTTTTTCTTGCTGACAACTAAAACTTTTGAAGGCATTTGTTTAGCTCTTACGGGGAAATTTCTTCAAAAGGAGTTGTGAATTCTTTTTGTATTTAAAATCATTCTATAAAAAAAGATATTTAAATTTAGTTTTAAGCTTATTTACAACTCAACGAAATAAAGTAAGCAAGACTTAAGCTTAATTTGCATTTGTAAACAATAAACTTTTTCGCCGGTTTCATCAATAAATTCCTGTCAAAAAGACAAAGCGTTACCTGATAAAACGTCCAATCCGAACTTCGTCACCTTCTTCGTGTATTTCGGAAACAGCTTGCTTGATTAGTTGTGAAATTTCTTTGTCTTTTTACGGCAGCAAACCGGAAGGCATTTTGCTTGCAACTTACACGAGTTTGGCGTCGCTCGTTCCGAGGTACTGGAGGTGAATCAGTGAATAGTGCAGAATATTCACTGATTGAGTAGCCAATCAGAGCGCGCGAAAAACACTATCCACTGTTTTAGTATATACTAATAGTAATTAGCCTCAGACCACACCACGTGATTGTCCCCAAACTGAATACTCCACACATGACCGACCAGTGATGTGACCACAGTTCCGGTGTTTTAGCAATAAGTTCAACTTTTTCGCCAAGCTGAATACTGATGGAATACTGCTGTACCGGTAACTGAGTTTACGTGGACGTCCGTATTTTTGTTGAAGAAGCTTATTAAACATGGCGCATTATTTTGATGTAATCGGTTGCAGAATCAAGCAAATGCACAATTCTCCCTTCTCTGTGGACTCCACAATGCCATGGTTCTCTTGAGTAAGTTGTCTTGACAAATAAAACTGAACACTGTTGAAGACAAGCCACAAAAGACAAAGAGAAAAACTTGAAGGCGACGCCTGTCAGTTATATAACGCCTGTGACGATTCAAACGAAGTTTGTCTCCGTATAACTTATCTTTTTCTTAAGGCACTAGTTTTTGTCAGTAACGTTTTTCTCTTCGCTTTGCTGTCCCATGAGAATTTGCAGTCATTGCCGATAGTGTTATCAAGCGTCTTTTCACCGGAATCGACTTCAATAGTGATACAGCAGTCTCCTCTCCTCTACTCAGCAAATTTATTCATTTGTGTCTTTTTTTTAATCTGTTTATTTATTTTACTGTCATTGCTAATATTCTTTTTTCAAATCGATTGCTTGCAACCTTCTTTCATAGATTCTGTATTCCGTTTCCGTTTCCGTGATTCTGGGCGCTTTCCATTTAGTCAAAATTTCCAGAATTTCCGGTTCGGCGGTAAATGGAACACGTTTCGTCGGCTCGTCCCACTGGAAAATTCCCAGAAAAAGTAGAAAATCTAAAAAGGTGGTCCCGTTTTCCCGGTTGGAATTTCCGAACGGAATGTCGTGTTCCATTTACGTTTCTCGTAGTTTGTACCAGTTCCAGGTCCACGGTCGGGCACCACCACGTACCGGGGTTTACGACCAAATGGAACAACTTTTTACCAATCGGAAATTCCACTTTTCCTATCACTGAAATTTCCGGGGTTTTTTCCTAAATGGAAAGCGCCCTCTGTTTCCGTTTCCGGATTCCGGATTCCATGTTTTAGTGCTGCCGAGTTTGATCGTCCGGGTGAACGTAGTCCTGAATAGGACTGTTGTTGTTGACAGTGACTGACGTTTCGACAACCTGTGCGGTAGTCATCTTCAGAGTCAAAGTGAGTTGTATCACGTCAGTTGATGGTATTATACTCTGGTTGTATAGATCTGATTGGTCAATCAGATCATAACCAGAGTATAATACCATCAACTGACGTGATACAACTCACTTTGACTCTGAAGATGACTACCGCACAGGTTGTCGAAACGTCAGTCACTGTCAACAACAACAGTCCTATTCAGGACTACGTTCACCCGGACGATCAAACTCAGCCTTTTGGTATTTATTATAGCACTGACCTGCTTGTCAAAACAAAACAAAACCTCAGAAAACCAATAAGCTTACTGTAAGTAAGCTTAATTTTATTTGATTTACAAGTGATTGTAGTAATTGCAAGCGAGTGTCTTTTTTTCCCTACTATTTAATCTTTACTTAGCTCTGATTTTTTCAAGTGCTATTTATATTTTCATCATTTTCTGAATTATGTTTATATAAACAGGTTGTGGATCTTTTTGAGGCCAGAGCTTTAGAGGGAAGGGGTGAACCAGTTCCCTATCTCAAAGCTGTATTCAAAGGTTAGTAGACTCTTAGCTTATACTGTTAGATCATATTTCAAATTCTCATAAAGCAGGAGTTTTGCCTGCGATAGCACACAATTTCATTGGTTACTTCAAGGTCACATGACATAATATATAACTCTGAGTGGGCAGATGGTGAATATGTATATACATATGAATATTAATCCTCAACAGCTATGCACAAACTATTTTTTTTTTTGTACTATAGGTTCACCCTGTGACACTAAAGTTGGTTTAGAAAGGCGTACCATTGTGTTTAAGCATGCTATTCAAGTACTTAATGATGGTGACGTTAGTAACAAGGTATTTGCCACAAGATTGTACTTTGTTTTGGTTGAGTTTAGAATGAAAAAAATTTCAACTGAGTGTGCCCAACTGAAAATGCAGCCCCAAGTGGAGCGTGAGTGAAATTTTAAGGGATTTGTATAAAGCTTGGTAACTGCCCCAAGATTTCCTTGCCTACTTGTCAAAATGGCATCAAAAACCGTGACAAGGTCACGATGTATGTAATGCTTCTGCTACCTACAACTAGCCACTCCAACACGTCATGTGTTTCTATTCCATTGCCTCACTTTACAAATAACAACATTGAAAAAAAAGGAAACAAGTTAAAAAAGACTGTAAGCACAAGGCGAGAAAACAATGGTGGATGACTCTACTTGTCTCACCTTTTTTGGCAGGTTGCCTCTGAGGTTGTGGGATTTTTGCTCATGGAGGTAATGTATACAAAATTAAACAAACAGATAATAACGGTAATTTCTTTATAAACTAAGGGCACTTTCTGTTTGTCAGAGCTGACCGGCCAGACCATTCCCGTTACAATGAGAATTTCACTCTTAATCAATACTATCCAGCCAGAACATTCAGAATCCTAAATAGTATGCAAGAAAAAGTTGTTTTGTTCAGCAAAACTCTTGGGAAAAGCCTATTTCATAGTCAAAATGACTGGTCCTTCATAGTTGGGCTAGCCAGTTCTGACTTTTGGAAACTGTCCTAAGAAGCCTACAAAGGCAGGTCACAAAAAAGAATATTTGAAAGTGAATGAATGGCAGTACATTGCATGTTCAGGGTGCAAAGGAAGTCAGTTTTACAGCTTGCCACTTGGACAAGCTGTAGCCTGTGTGTACTAGCCCAAGAGTTATTTTAACTGGTCCGAATAAATTTTCTGACAAGTAGGATTGCTCACAGTTCTTCTGTAACTTGCATTCCCCAAAACACTTCATTTACCAAGTGTTAAGAACAAGATTCACTAGCCCAATAACAAAATCCACCAGCCCGAGGCTATTGGACACTACATTCTTTGCACACTGGACATACATGTACATAAGTAGGAAAGTAGGGCCAAATAAGCTTTCCTTAGATTTAATCTCACCATACTAAATAAATAATGATTTAGAGGTGGCACATCCACATTTTGGTTCTTTGTCTGCCATTCCTGGTTGAATTGGAATCTGGAAATGTTGAGAGAGAAGGGAAAAGGGAAAACCAGAAGGGAAAACCAGAGCACCTGGAGAAAAATCTCTCGGAGCAAAGAGTGCGCTTTCGCATGTACAGAAATAACTGTTGCAGAAGTAATACGTGTTAAATAGTCTAGAAAATATGATATTCCAATGTAAGGAGCAAAGAGCAACCCGCGTAATGGTGTCAATGCCAGTATTTGAACCTAAGCCTCATTTTCTGGGAGGCGAGCATTCTCACCACTGCGTTATCTTTGCTCTCCCATAGTGTGCTTTCGCATGTACAGAAATAACTGTTGCAGAAGTAATAGGTGTTAAAAAATAGTCTAGAAAATATAATATTCCCATGTAATATTGTACAAATTGGATGTTAAGGCACAGCTGTACTCCAAGAGTGCCCGGTGGCACTTTAAGGTGCCTTACATTTGCTCTTGGGTAAGTAGGAAAAATTAGTTTTTACACAAAAATAGTAAGCTTGGCATAAGACATTTACTGCCAGTTCAAAGAAGTACTACCAATAGTTCTGGGGCAAGTATGTCAACCATGCCATTCTATACTAAACCAAACTTTTTCTTTAAAACTTGTATCACCATACTGTCAAACAACACAAAATTAAGGCAGTCTAACATTTAAGCAATTGTATGATTGTATCATTTTATAATCAGTGTCAGAAAAACTTGAAGTGACAAAATCTTCCTCTCATTCAATAGCTTGATGCATTTCCTGGAAACATTCTTGCAGACTTAGCAGATGTGTTTATTAATGCCATTAAGAGTGGTTCCCTAAGCAATGGCAAGTAAGTAATATTTGTTCATTGATAAGTTACAAACACAAAGATTGCTGTCAAGGAAAATGCCAGGTTAACAAAACTTTTTCTCAAGTAACATAACACTTGTGTCACAGTCGTTTTCCACAGAGCCATTTGTTTTTATGACATGTGGGACACACCCGTTGCCTCAGGCATTAAGTCTTTGAAGGATCAACAGTCAGTTTGCTTGTCTTTAACCTAAACAGATCACTGGAATTGTTTCCTAAAGTGCTGTCTGCTGTAGCAGCCAAGGACTCTATTCCAATGGTGGGAGGTAAGAAAATCAACTTTTTGAACGAGTAGAACAGGTGGTTCTTCAACAAACTAGGTCCATTTGGCAAAAATCCATCAACGCCACTAAAAAAAGCACCTTTATGTTAACATTCATAAACTTGCCAAGTTTGAAAGTGACACATCTAAAACAAGCAAAGATATAGCTCCCCAAATTCCCCAAATTAAACAGTGAATTTGCAGCCAGAGCTCTATCTTCATTCTTTTTACACAAATCACTCTCAATCTTGGCAGTTGGTTCTCTTTTTTAGGCTCTTCTAAGATAGCTGTGCAGTGTTGATCTACAAGTTGGCAGATAATTGTGCTTAGAAATATTAAGTACATTCATTACCTGGCGTTGTTTTTATTGTGTAGAATGTGGAGGTGAAATGGCAGGACAGGAGTATAAGAGACACCTACTTAACACTCTTTGCTCAAGCAGGTCAGTAGTTTGAATTTTGCTGTTGATATACAGTGCAAGCATTTTTCATTCATTTACTCGTCATTGAGAAAGTGGTGATGACTCTGGACTAAGGGAACGATGGGGGTGAGTGTAATTTAGGTAAAAGAAATTCTAGAGCATATGTTGGGTTGTAGCACCCATATCTCCACTAGAATCAGGCCTGCAAATCATTTCTCTTTTTAAAGGGCCTTATGTCCAACCAGGTCACCATTGTGAAGATGAAATAATCAGCATATGTCATGAGCGTGGGACAAAGAAAAAAGTCTGAGTCCTCAACAGGATTCGAACCTATGACCTCCCAAACACCGGGCGGGCGCTCTATCCACTGAGGTATGGAGAACTCATGAAGAGAGAGGCCATATACTAGGTTCTTATTGGAAATGCGTCCTGTATACTGCTAGGATCATTAATGTCGAGATCATACTGTATGGAGAAAGAATAAACCAAGTAAATTTGTTGGTCACACATTAAGCTGACTTTAATATTTTTTTGTTTTCTTTTTATGAAAGAAAGGTTAATTAATACTTTAAAGTATCAAAAGTCAGCTTCAACTTGAAAATATTAGGTATTTGTGTCTAACCAAAGTAGGATTTGACATCATCTAATGATAGATTGTTATTTGCAACTCTGAGATTTTAAAGTTAGAAAGTGAGAAAATTAATGTTTCTTATCACAAGCTCTGCCTTATTGAGCTGATTGGGTTCTGACATGAGAAACAATTCAGTGGAAAACATCTTCAGTTGTCATCTCATTTAATTTTCAGATGGGATCCTCAATGTGCCATACATCTAGCTGCTGTTTTCAGGTAAATTTTTGTTTTTGTCAGTAGCTGTCCAAGTGACCTTAGGCTTTTGAATAAGACGAAAACAATGTGAGATAAATCAAGGTGTTTTTAATCTAAAATCAGATCCTCATCCATGGTTGTCCTCCTTTTTTTGCGCTGTTATCAGTGCTATTATTGGAAGTCATACATAGAGTTAGACATACTACTCATTAACTGAGAGAGAGGTCATTACAGGGAATTCTCAGCCCAATGTATTGTATCGCTCAGTCAATACATCAAGGCTGATGTCCGAGATTTCCCTGTAATGACCGAATAAACAAGGTTAATAAGTTATTTATTATTTGGCCTGAGTCTGCGATCAATTGAAATCAACAACTGGTCAGCGGATAGATTAAAAAAAACACACACACACACAACACCTCAATGAGTTGTCGCTTGAGCCTGCTTTACAGTCAGGTGACACTGGCCAGTGGATGCTCTTTTTGTCAGTTGTCATCTGACCGTAACATGGATGTCCATAAGCATGTCCACTATCAAGTTAAGCACAAATTTTGTATCCCTTGCACACCTAGCTAGTATGCCCGGTCATTACAAGAGAATAATGCCGAGCTGTCATAACAAGAAAACAGCGAATCAGAGCTCGCATTCTATTGTAGCCATATAATAATATTCCTTATTGTCTTTTAAGAACCCAAGCATCAGAAAAATGTATCTCTAACGGCACCTTGATTTCCACTCTTTCTTGTTGATATTCTGAACCCTTTATCTAAAGTGCTAAAACATAAGTTCTCAGCATGCAGTCAGTATCAGTCAGCAGCAGATTCTGGTTGTCAAAGGGACTTCCCTTATACATTAACTATATCATATCTTAAGTAACTGCAAATAGGCATAGGTCTCACTCAACTGGTTTTTGTTCATCCTTTGTATTAGGGATGTGCCAATGACTTCAGATGAACTGCGGTTTGTAATGGAAAAGATAATAAGGTTAGTGAGTGTGCAGTTTTGCACTTTCTTCTTTCTGGTATATTTGAGATTGTTGATGTCATGTGAAGAATCTGGATTAGACATATTCGATTGGAAAGGTAGGAAGGTTAAAGTTATTTTATGTTTGTTTGCGGGCAGGACTACTATTGTGAAATGGCCCTTAACTTATGACGTTCCTTTGCTAAATTTAATTTATTGTATCATAACAATGTCTTGATTTTCATTTTTACTTTTCTGTAGGGCCATGAAGGACCTTGATTTTCAAGAGCTTCCTCCACTTGTCTATCAGTTATTGCTTCTCTCCACAAAGGTACACAATTCTCTTTACTTGGGCAGCTACATGTAATTCTATCGCTTTGATTCTTCTGAAACCACCCTCTGTGTCTTTTTTATTTATAACATTCTTCATCAGGGTTAGTGATTTAAGCTTTTTTGCAATTGTAAGGCATGAATGTTCACCCATGTATGTGCAATCTGTCAGATAACCAGTATAAGCACACATAATGTTAGACAAGATTTGGTTTCTGGTATGTGCCTTGTGTCGTCCTGCTTATATTAGTGTTTGTTTGTATTATTTTTAAGGGTCACAAACAGCTCGTTCTGGAGGGAGTAACATCTTTTTTCAACAACTTGGATGAAACATGTCGCAAGGAGAACAACGAGGATAGGTTGGTTATCCATGAATTCTATAACTTTCTTTTCATTGGATTTCTGCTCGTAGTTTGCTTACTCTTTAGTATTATGGTTTAGGGTTGATTTGAGTTGATGTTTGGCATTGCCATTGCAGCTCAGAAGTCCAGACCATGTCCAAAGACCAGCTACGCCATATGGAAGGAACTGTAGTTCTTCACATAACATTTGCTGTAAAACAAGATCAGGACCTAGGAAAGGAGTTCATTAAATATTTAAAGGTATTGGCAAATGGATGGTTCCTAAAGTACTATCCATTAGTAAGTACACAACAATTATTGTATTTTCAAAAAGGGATAACATATTAGTGATTTGTGCCTGATACAATTGTAGTTATTGCAATAAGAATTTTTTTGAAAAGTTACTTGCAGAGTCTTTATAGATGGACTTGCTTTGATTTTTACCATTTGCTCCTTTGATCTTTAAATGATTACAGGAGTATATGGTAAATGTCAAAACAACTCCATCTATATAGACTCTGCAAGTACCTTTTAGAATTCTTATTGCAATGTCCTCCAGCTCTTGCAGAATCAGGAATTCTTAGGTTTTGTACAAAATGTTTATGTTGTTTGCACTGAATTTCATGAGTTCAGAGCTCTTGTGCTTTCTGCCCTTTTTTTCTTACCCCAGTACAGCCTTGAAGTTTGATTATTCAGCCGTACTAGTTTTTCTTTAGTATTTTCCATGATAAATTTGGGATTTTGTGATTTTTTTAAGAAAAATCTCACGGAGGTCGAGAAGTATTATATAACAGTAATGTTGTTGGTGAATGGTCATTTACTGCCAAGATATTTTCAACCATAGGGTACATTGTATTTTAGGCAGTAAATCTATTTATTGTGTTCTGCACAGGCTCACCAAAGCTGCCCTGGTGTGGTGCTTACTCCATTCAATATTGCATTAGCTCTCTCTATTGCACAGATTCATAGATTTGAAGAAATGGTAAGGATTAACGCCATGCTAGCTTTTTTTATTTTCACTCTATTGAAATGTGACCAACAAATCTCAGTTTGTGACAAACATGATAAGATGCAGGCAAGAAACGGTAAACATGCCTGCAAATTCCATGTGGCTTAGTCTCTTGATTCTTGTCAAAAAAACATCAGTTAGAATAGATTGCTTGAGGAAACAAAGTATTATATTTGCTGACCAGTCTACTTCAATCATGTCAACCACCAAAAAAAGTATTCATCAAGCAATATTAGCAAAAATGACTATATTTAGTACGCATTTTGAAATGTCAATGTGCTTAAATATTTAAAACTACAATTATGACTATTATAAAATAAATTCTAAAAGTACACAATGTGCAATGTATTTACTATGAATTTTATTCAAATATTAGATATTTGACTTTCTGAAGTCAGCTGTACTTAGGAGCTTTAAAGATGAAGAGAGAAGAAAGCAGTCAAAGTGGGTGCGAGGTGAGCTCCTTGTGCACTGGTTTTGTGGCAGATTATTATATATTTCACCAAAGAGAAATTAACTGTGAAAGGTTTGAACCCCGGAAACGTTCTGCCTTCAGTTTTCTTTGTAGGTGTGTCACTGTGTGTTTGACCTGTTGTCAGTGAGAAAAAGGTATTAATTTGGGATTCTGATCAGAACAAAATCTCATTTTATAAGTTTTGTACATGTGGCCCATTAATTTAGTTATGCAGAGAGCAGACTTGATAACTTGATTATTATAAGGGATGTATGGAAAACTGACCTTTTTCTAGTACATAAGCTTAACCCTTTAACCTCTAACAAGGATCAGCCTTTTTTTGCTATTATGTTGGTGAAGACTCTGGCTGGCAAGAGGATTAATAATATCGCAGCAGTGAAGTAATCTTCTTTCCATTTTGAATATTTCATTTCTACCTCAGAAAATATCCCTGCATCTTCCTCTGTTCAGGATCAGGTACTGGAGACAGTTCAGAACAGGTAAAAGGTCAAATGACTGTACTTCAGTTTGTCGCTGTTAACCTGGTGTTACGTTTATGTAATTTTTTTTTCATCTAAGAGATTTAAGTAAATTTATTACAATAATATTACTCTGTGTGATTGTTCTACCATAGTTTGTTTGGATGGGATCATGTGACTCAAGGATTGGTGCAGCTGGGCTTCACTCTGATGGATGCATTTGGTCCCAAGATGTTTGGTAAATATTGTGGCACTTTGGTATCAACCAGACTACATTATAATGATAATTGTGGCATTATGTATAACACTCAGTAGTTAAAACACTAACCTATGGTCAAACTGTCAGCCAAATTTGGTGGACAGACCCTTACCTCATGCAGGGGACAGCTGTAGATGGAAGAGGTTTGCTGTGGCATAACTGTTGCTTTCTCAGGATTGTTTTGGAAAACATCTTTGAGGAAAAATTTCAGAAATGTATAAGGTCACAATAGTACTAAAAGTATTTAATGTCTGTCAGTGACTTGCGTTTTTGTGCTCTCTTTTAGATTCTACAACTTCACCAAATCTGTCTCCAACACAACACTCGTACAAGCTTGGATCCTCCATTCTGCTTGATACTTTCAAGGTAGATTCTATACCGCTGTAGATTTTATACGGCAGCCTGGCAAGCTCAGTTGGGAGAATGCCAGTCTGCTTAGTGGAAAGTTGCGGGTTCAAACCTCTGCTGGACCAACACTTAAACACGGGGTCTTTAAATAACTGAGAAGAAAGAGCTGCCTTTGTAATGACATCTGCAAACAGTTTGACTTTCTAGTCTTCTCAGATAAGGATGAAAAAACGTAGGTCCCATCTCACAGTGCTTTCACTTATCTGATTCTTGTGGGACGTAAAAGAACCCACACCATTGTTTGAAAAGAGTAGGGGACGTAGACCCGGTGGTGTGGCCAACCTTTCCTAGGCTGGGTGGGTTATCTGTAAGGAGAGATCTTAATTCAGCAATGACCTCATGATCCTCATTCAGTTGTCCTAATAGGTACCTGTAAACTTGGAGCAAAGAGATACTTATATTGAGAAAATTATGAATGTAACCTGCCAGTGTTTATAGACCAAAAAAAAATAATGACAATAAATCTGTTTGTTTTTACACGCCTTTTCAGTTTTCTTTGAGCTCTTTATTGTTATTTTTTGCAGGCTCATGAAATGGTCCGATCTGAAATTCTGCAACAAATCCTGAACAGAGTGATTACTAAGGCAACTACACCAGTCAATCACTACATTGGTAAGAGAAGATTCTGTACAATAAAACATTACGCTTTAATGAACACTGGTGTGCTTTACTAGGCAGTAAGTTCTGAGTGTATAATATTGAGAAGGATAGGACTGGGATGTCACAGAAGTTGTATAGTTTGGAAATAAAAGGTGTATATGTTGTGGTTCAATTTTATCCTTGGTTTAAATTTTATTTTCCTTTGTTTCAAACTCATTATCATACATTACCACACCCAGAAACAAAGGAAAACAAAATTTAATCCAAGGATAAAGTTGAGCCACAACATATATACATGGGGTGAGTTCGCTAAATTGAAAAGTCCTTCCTGGTGATTTATCAGGGCTTTGAATAAGTTTTTAAACATAGGGGTACATTTATCCCATATGTGATGAGCCATTCTTCATCACTTTCTGAAATAATACTGTAAGGGACTTCATGGTGGTTGCTTTGAGCTTGATAGTGTTTGAAAAGGTTCAGGCATTGTAATGTCTCTTTCAGATCTCCTAGCCAGCACTGTTTCTTCAGCACCACATGTGTTACTGGAATCAATGCCAAGGGTAACAACCAGTAAATTTGTAGTACTTTATTTCATAAGTAATAGAAACACTGAACAAATCGTGGTTGTGAGAGTCCATCTTGACAATTCTTTAAATAAGATCATGGAAAGTGCCAGTCAACAATCCCACCATCTGGTTTGTTTCTTTTTGTTCAGTTCACATTCTTTTTAGGCCTTCACAAACTCTGGAAAAACAATCAATATCGCTTTGAGAAAAACATTTTGTATGTTGAAAAATTTTTTGCAAGATGAGGACTTGCAGAAGTACTGCAATAGAATATAAACTTAGAATTTTTGTGCATCATTTCTCCACGTCAAAAAGTCAGCATTGTACCATTTGGGCTGACAAAAGTGCATATAACATTTCAGTTGCTAATTTGCTTGTGAGATAGAAAATCCTTTTTGTATTTTGTATGCTGAAAAATTTTGCAGGAGACAAGAATTTGCAGACCTATTGCAAAACAAAAATGTCCGAGAACTTTTCCTGTGTCATTGCTGTTAGTCGAAAAAGCAGCATTGTACCATTTGGACTAACAAATGCACCTGTAATGTTTCAGCAGCTAATTGTATCAGGTTGTTTGTTCTGAAGTCTTAAAGTTAGTAGATAACCTCCCAAACCGTGACCAGCAAAAATACAGCAAATCAATAGCTGCTCTGCACCCTCCATGTTTCAGTGGCCTCTGAAAGGGGTTCTGAACTTGTCAGTTCAGCTATGGATTAGTTTGAATATCATGAGTTGTAAGAAAAATAAGACAAGGCAATACCTGTTATTCAGAAAGAAATGTTTTTCAACCAATGTGTTTTCCAGGTTAAAGAAGCTCTGGACTATCTGTCCTTTTTACCCCCAAAATCTGCTGAAGGGTTTCTCAAAGCAATCCAGGTACAGTGTAGAGTTCTTTTTTTTTCAATGTTCATATTATTATCAAGAGTGCGAAAAATTAACTGGCACTCTTTTTGGTAATGCAAATGTGTCTTGTGCTATGCTTCATTATCCAGTAAATATTTCTGACCATTGTTTATCTTGTACAAACATGTAAAGGTTTTTCTCTTCACAGCCTCTGTTAAAGATCAGTTTATCTCTACGTGATTCACTTATTCTTGTGTTACGAAAGGCAATGTTCTCAAGGTAACAGTCAAATTACTATCCCTTCAATTATACCATTTTATATCAGTTAATGAAATGTATTACAGTGAATTTCATAACCTTCTTGTGCGTGTCTGCTCTTTATGAGGGATTGAAAAAGGGGTGACTGTGATGACACTAAGCCGCTACCGACTTTATAAAATTTTCACAGGCAAGTTGATGCACGTAAGATTGCAGTAACAGGATTTCTTCTCATTCTTAAGAATTTCAAGGTACAAGCTGTCATGATTATGTAATTGCCGAGGAGAATAGCTGATCTCTTTATTATACAGTTCATATTCTTGTGCGTCTTTTGAAAGTGAAGGGAATACAGGAGAATGTTTTGTTTGAGGCCTACATGCTTATCATCTGAATGATATTTCTTATACAAAATGTTTGATGGTTGAATACCCAGGGAAGGTTCATTTTTATTATAGAGGGGATCTTTTTGCAGGTTATTTTTCAATGAGGGGATATTTTTCCATCACAGCTAGAAACAACAGTTTTGAGAGTTCTTAATTCTGTGCAGTCTTCCCATATGAGCAAATAGCCTAGTAACACAGGAGCACCGAACGACGGTTTCCTCCAAAATACGTTGAAAACACTTTTTAGGCCATCCAGAGGACTTTTGGATCTCTAGAAATGCATTCTTAGCGGTGCTACAAAATTTTTATCTGTTCAGTCATCCTAGGGGAACTGAAGTCTTTTCGAAATTACAAGGGCTTCAGTATCATTTTCCCGAAAATTTTAGGTGTAATTTAACGTTTTAAGAAAGTGATTTCTCTCTCCATCACATTTTAGAATCCGAAAATTTTAAGTCTCCTTTTTCTCAGAAAAATAGTGTAAGCAGGGTTGTAAAACATGAAAAATTAAACTTCAGATGATCATAGGGAATTTATTAGATATGATTCGAAAATTGTACATTAATGGAACGTTCATCTAGAAGTTTTTAGCCGTCCTCAAGCAGAAGAAAATTCTAGGCAATATTTGCTTCTCCGAACACATATTTTACAGAAAATAGTCGTTGTGTGCCCCTGGTAACAGATGTGATACCTTGCAGATTTTAGGAGGAGGTATATCTTCTAGTCAACCAGCTAGCCAATTGAGTCAAACGCTATCACATTCTAGTCAAATCCAAGTGGATGTCCATGTCAGAAGCAGTGGAGTGGGCAATGAGGCCCTGTGTTTGGAGATACTAGGTGAATACATTACTTGAACATTTATTTATCAGACGAGGTATAGCATCTGCGAGGAAATTCGTCAGTAACCAGTGCAACTTCATATTATTTACCACTGTCCATGCTGCGTGGCATTAGGTTATTTCCTTTTGACCTAGGTCAACTTAAAGCAAACCTTTCACTTAGTGAACATGAAGTTAAGAGCCATTCCATCAAATGGCCATTGATCAAGGTAAACCTGTTGTTTAACCAGTATGGAAAGTGTTTTGGGTAAAGGAAGCTGATACATAGCTAAGGAGAGCTTTTAGTCAGTCACTGAAGACATTTAGTTTTATAAGTTATTAGAACCCTGCTATGGTGGTTCCATGTTTGTTGTTGTTGTTGTTTTCTCCTTAAGGAAACCTACGTCGATGTTTGACTCAACAAGCAGATGTCAGGGTGCAATTGTATGAGGTATAGTCTGCAAAATTTACAATTTCCATATAACCATTTCTACAAATTCATATGTACAGCAACTGTGCATTTCGGTAATTCTCTACCAAATGTTTCACTGATTTCACCAAATGTAGAACGGTATTGAGGTCAAACACCTTTCTAGTTTCAGTACAATGGCTGTGATTGAACAATAATTTTAAGAAGAGCCAGAAATTCATTTCATTTTTGTTTGAATTAAGGTAAAATTACTAATAAATAACATGCAAGTCATTGTTATTTAAAACTATAAACTGGAATGTTTTCTATTAGTGTTATTTTCTCTTTTTGTTCGTTCCAGGGTTTGTTCCATGTGCTTTATAGAAACCCTCAGCTACAGCAGCCAATTTTAGACATGTTCTTCAACCAGGTACAACGCATTTTCTTTTTGTCTTGTAGTTACCATTACTTCTTTTGCATTCTGTCGTCTTATTATTGTCTGCTTAAAGCTGGGAATGTGTTCTGTGCTGTAAGATTAGACTTTCAAGCTGACTTATAAACCATATTAGCTAAGTTATTTCAAGAGGAATCTGTGGTAACGATAAGCATTCTGACGACAAGGTACATGGCTGACCTTCTACTTAGTGGTAGATGCTACGCATTTAATAAGTTTTTCGCATCTGCAGCAAGCAAATTGATGGCCACTTTACGGAAAACTTGTGGTAATAAACAGCGTGATTCCGATACTCCTGCCCGTCAGTATCCGCCGTTTAATTTTCTTGAGATCTCTGAGGAGTTTGTTATGTCTCAACTACGTAGCCTGAAATCTGGGAAGGCTGTGGGTTTGGACCGCATACCGACTCGCCTGTTAAAAGATTCTGCGGACATTGTAGCTAAGCCTGTGGCGTTTATTATCAACACCTCGTTACGTACTGCCCAAGTTCCCAGTGATTGGAAATCCGCACGGGTCATTCCACTCTTTAAAAAGGGAAAGGCTGATGAGATGGACAATTATCGCCCGATTTCCATTTTACCTGTTCTATCTAAGGTTTTAGAACGGGCTGTACATATCCAACTCTACAAATATCTCCAGCAAAACAAGATCTTGAGTCCTTATCAGTGCGGGTTTCGGAAGTGTCACTCGACAGAATTCGCTGCTCTTTTTTTTTTTCTGATAATATTCGTAGGAACATGGACCAAGGTCAATTAACTGGTGCTGTGTTTATTGACCTTCGCAAAGCTTTCGACACTGTGGATCATGCGGTACTTCTGGACAAGCTTTCCAATTTGGGGATTTTCGATAAAGAGCATGGCTGGTTTACGGATTACCTGTCGAACCGCACCCAAGTTGTGGAGTTTCAAGGGGTGACTTCTGTTTCGGAAGCCGTCTCTACTGGTGTGCCTCAGGGCTCTATCCTCGGACCATTATTGTTTATTCTACACATTAATGATTTACCTGAAGTAGTGTCCGATTGCAATATTCTGATGTACGCTGATGACACTGTTTTATACTGTTCATCCTCTCAAGCCTCTGTCATTCAAGACAAGCTCAATGCAGAACTGTCTAAGATTGATCACTGGCTTTCTTTTAATAGTCTGTTTGTTAATGTAACAAAAACCGAAGCTATGCTTTTCGGAACCGCCCCTAGATTATCTGCTGTCAACTCTTTTTCTATTACTTTAAATAACAATGTAATTAAGCGGGTTTTTCACTTCACTTATCTAGGTATAGTTTTTGATGACCGCCTTAGCTGGAACGAGCAAATAAAGTACCTAATTTCGAAGGCGGGAAAACGCGTAGGAATGCTCGGCAGGCTTCGCAGAAGCCTCACTAGAGAGAGTGCAAATGTAGTGTATTGTAGTCTAATTAGGCCAATTTTAGAATACTGTGTAAGTGTGTGGGGCTGTTGCGGGGAAGGTCGTAAACAAGACCTTGAAGCCCTCCAAAACCGGGCTGCTAGGATAGTGGCTTGTACTCTGCGCAGCAAGCAGGCATTGGACGTTCTGAAATGGCCCACCTTGGAGGAGCGCCGACGTCAATCTGTTTTTAAACTCGTTAAGAAATGCCTGCAAGGTCAATGTCCCCAGTATTTTAAACAATATTTTAAACGTAATAATACAATCCAGCGCGCTCTACTAGACAAAGCAACCTCTTACATCCGCCTTCTGTGAGAACTGAAATTGCAAAAAGATCCTTTTATTATTATGGTTGCACTCTTTTTAACGAATTATCTTATTGATATTCCGTGTTTTACATCTTTTAATCTTTTAATTGAAAATAGTTTTCTATTTATATTATTACCTGTATTAGTGTAATGTTTATATATTCAGTTTGGTTTTGTGCGTTGTTGCTCAGGGCTCCCATTGATAACAGACAGCTTTTTGCGTCTGAAGGGGCTACCCTGAGCGGTATAAATTAATAAAGGTTCTTGTTCTTCTTCTTCTGCTGGAGAGTGCATGGTCTTGCCCTTAATCTGGCGTTGCCATTTGGGTTGACAAGCGCACCTACTGTATTTCAATGACTGCAAGTAATAGTGTTGGCCATGTATGTTGCAACACCATAGAGTGTGTTGTAATTGCATCCTTTAGAGTGATTGGATACTAAGATGTATGTCAGTGACATTTCTTTGATTCCGTGCATGTCAAACTTCCACCCAATGACTGTTTTATTGGCATGCCTGTGACAAAAACCTAACCACTGCTTTAATATATTATGTCATCACAGTTTCAGAGGTATGTTGAATCTGATGAAGATGTAAATCCTCCTATCAAATTAGAGCCGTGCCTTTCAGCTGCAGGTGATCAAGTTTACCTCACAGAACCACTGGTACGTTCTTAAATTTTTAGTCCTCTTTTTTCTCAAGAATAGTGTTTCATATTTTGGTTTTTTACATTACTGTTAGGCCCATTTGCTGTGTTATCTTCTACATTCAATGGCAAAGTGCATTGAAAGTTACAACCAGGAAGAGGATGAGCGGAATGGTGAGTGTGTTTCTAATCTTGACCTTTCGCTTTCACCACTTAATCTGCTCTGGCACATTGCCAAAGCGTCTGGACTAGCCACCAAGTCATAGGTCCACCAAGTCCATTCACCTGTGTCAAAAACTGATTAAAATAACATTTTCATTTCGACCCTTGTTCCTTATATTGGTTTCAGATTCTATGGAGCATATTTTGAATGAACTAGAGGATCTATTCCAATCACTTGTACGTAGGATGAATAAATCTGAAATGGAAGACTTTGAGCTGGTAATTATCATATTTTAAGTGGATTTGGTTTTTCTTGACATGTGCTTCTTCTTGTTTTCAACCTTTTTGTTCATTTTTTCAGGACAAGTCTGCTGATTTTTCTTTGACCTCAAGTGTTGGTATCAAGAACAACATTCTTGCTTTACTTGTTCTTGGAGTTTATGAGGTAAGCGCTCAAGTTGTTTTGTCTTTAAAAGCTTTTTTTCGTTTGAAATTTATTTCGACGTTTTATTCTCACTGAGAAGAGAAAAAGTAGAACTAATTGTATAAACCTAAGCAGTTGTCCAATGGCGGCAAATACTCTTACAGAGTTGCTTTAGCTTTTAGTATCTCTTCGCATTTTTTTTCTAAGAAAGAACACCCTTTTGATTCTCTTTGTTTAGGTTTTATTCGAGTACAGTTTTGCTGAAGGAGAATTAAGGTTGGTTACTTTTGAATGGGCCGTCCTTCACCTCTATGAGCATAGTGTTTAGTAACTGTGGTTAAATAATGTTATTGCTAGATCACGAATTGGAAGAAGGTTTTGCTCTCAGTCTATATTTTTATCGTCATTAATTATGCTATTGTTGTTGTTGTTAGTACTGAATCAACTGATGAGGTAATGCAGCTTTTTGGCAATTATCACCAACTGTCTGAGATCCTGAAGGAAAAAGCAAATGCAACTGGTAAGGCGGCCTTTTGACAAAGGCTAGAATTTAATATTAACTGAATTCTGTTATTTGTAATAACTCACACAGAACCTGACTACATCGAAGTTTTACGTATTTTATTATGACAGGAAAAAAAGGCCGTGCAGCAGTTGGAAAACAAGGAACTAAAAGCATGCTGTCTTTGGAGTGCTCAGCATCCTTGTTAAGAGTATTATTCTGGTATATATATAAATAATCCATTGTGTAGTTTGTCTGTGGTTTCATTGTTACTATCTTCTTTGATTTTTGAACAATATCTTGACCTGTGTTAATTGTGAATATCCTTAGTGATACAACTCCAAGCCATCAACAAGGCCTAACCACGCTGAGAGGCTCAAGAGACCTTATTAAATATGCTGTCAATACAGCTCTTCAGAAGCTCAAAGAGGTAATTTTGAACCCTTTTGATAAGAATGTGCAGACCCATTACTTGCAGGATTATTTGTCCTGGAATGCCTCCACATGCTCAATGACTTAGCCAATTGGCCCGAACACCCAGTTTACTCAAGACGCATATAGGATATTAGCCTGCGTGGCAAGCGTTTGAAAAGGAAAGGAAAGGGGGTTTTGGGCGTGAGGGAAACGCGAGGTGTGCGCAAGGAGGGAGGGAACGAGGGAGTTTCCTTCCCTCCCTCCTCGCGCGCTCGCTCGCGTTTCTCTCGCGCCTAAAACTCTCTTTCCCTTCCCTTTCAAACGCCTGCCATGCAGGCTAATAGGATATATAAATACATGAAAGGACTTCATCTAAAATATACGCCGATGAAAGGTCTGAAGGATAGATGTTAGAGAGCCATGACCACGGCGACTAAAACGTAAAAAAATCAATTAGTGTAATTAGCATTTAAAACAACAGAAATGCAGGTGCATCTCTTCTTTCTCTAGTATAAGATTCTTTTGTCATAATATTTGACCGTTGCTAACATTTTCTTTTTTTTTGCGTTTTGTTTTTCCCAGATCAATGAAAGTGGCAGTTGTTCTGGTCCTGGTGGCTCTAGCAAGGAACATATTTACAAACACTGTTGTACAATTGCAAGGTTATGTCGGTTTTGGTTTATATTACACATTCTCAATTAACTTTTCCCGCTTAGAGTAATCAGCACTAACTTGTCTTTTTCTTTTAGAATGTTCTGGAAACACATGAATGGGGAAAGCTGTTTACAGGAAGACCATGACAAAAAAGACAAGGTACTGAAATCCAACCGTAAGAAGAAAGTTATTGATATAGGTTTTTAAATAGTGGATGATTTTTGAAAAAACCAAACCAAACGTTAGACACTTTTTTGTGGGAGAGGAAAGGGGTGGGGAACTGGGAGTTCTAAAAGGTTCTAACAGGGGAAAATCATCCAACAGCACCTAACATTTCACAATCGTAAAAAGGCGAAAGAGTACAGGCGAAGAAAATAGCGACAGGAGCCGGGAATGCAAGATTCGGGAGGCGGGAGGCTTGGACCTTCCCCCCCTCCCTACTTTTTATGGTAATTAAGGTTACTTTGCCTTCCTTCCTTCTCGGTAGTGATTTCCCCTTGTTTCCTCTAGGTGAAGTTTTCATGATTTGTAGAAAGTAAAGGTCTCTCTAATCTTTTTTCCCAGGGTAAAAAAATCAACAGTTTGTGCGTGGAAGGATTTTGCCTCGTGGTTAACATTATGTGTTGCTCATTCTCCCAGAAATTGCCCCATTTCTTAAGCGTAATAGGTGAGTGGTAAATCTTTATTTTGCTTTTATTTTTTCAAATGGTTTAAAAACCCTTAACACCTACGGAGTTTGCTGTTTCAAAGACATTGTTATCCTTCTTTAAGCTTATCGATAGTGTTCTCATTCCCCAAAAAGGTGACATATTAGGTCATCACATACTTGAAAAAAAAGCACAATGCCTTGAAAAGCCACTACTGTAGAGGTTCCATTTAAATCGTCACTTATACGCGTTTAATGGTAAATAGCTATTGATTCTGATGCTAAAAGGCTAAGTACTCGCCTGCGTATAATCTTTCCCTGGTTTTAGGCCCCCAACGGACTCAACTAATTACCGCGAGTATTTCCCTTTACCCTGGGTACCAGAGGTTTTTCTCGCGTGCGGCGGAAATTTTCGGGTTCGCACGGGTCACTATAAATAAAGACTTGACAGAAACCGGAAACCGCGCTAGAAAAGTCTCTGGCACCCAGGGCTCGGTTGTTCCAAGCTGGGTTAAGGTAACCCACGGTTAGTGCGAAATTTGAACTCGGACGTGAGAGCTTCAAAAGCAAATTCACTTTAATTCTCTTTGCCTACAATTTGATGACTGGATACTCTAAAAAGAATAGAGAAAATTATCCGATAGTGTACTTTTGATAAAAAGAAAAAGAAACCTGGGCCGAGTTGTTCAAAGCTGGGTTAAGATAACCCAGGGTAAGTGCGAGATTTGAATTCAGATTTGAAAGCTTAAAAAGCATTTCGGCTTTAATTCTTTTTGTCTACAAGTTGAAATCCTGGGATTACAGAAAATGGGACCCAAGAAAAGAAACAAGGTTAAATTTAACCCCGGGTTAGAGCTAATGTCTGGGCCCGCAGACGGACATAACGTGATTGGCAAATTGACAATGGCTTGTTTTGTTTTCTTCTGGGACACAGCTTGGGACCCAGAACAAGGATTTTAGCGCTGTCTCGCAGACGGACATAACGTGAGGTTTTGTTTCTTCTGTAGCGCTGGTTAGTTAACGACACGATTTGCCTGCTTAGAGGTAACTGAAATGGTATTAAAAAACAAGTTAAAATGGATGCTGATGGCTCACTCAGGGACAATCGTACCTGATGTAAAAATACCACTGCATGTACTGCAGTGGTTGTCATAGTTGTTTTATTATTTTAGACTCAAACCAGGATAAAGACAAAAGTTCAACTGAAGAAGCAACCAACCAAGATGACGTTTATTCACAAATAAAGAAATTCCAGGTCTGCAACACTTTTTTTGTTGATTCTACCAGTGCTAATATTGCATAACATTTCATTATTTTGTTTTGTAGGTTAGCTTGGTTTTACCTCCAGGGTTTATTTATCTACGCATTTCACGGTTTTTTTTTTTATTTTTTTTATTTTTATTATTTTTTTTTTATTATTGTTTTTACAAACATAATGCTGACTTACTTACATAGTACTTACTTAGTTACATAAAGCTTTAATACCTACTTACATATAACTTGCTAAGTTAAATGCTACTTACTTACATAATATAAACTTCCAAGATAATGCTTACAAAACAGGAGCCGATGAGTTGGAGTCTGTTACAAAATAGTGAAAAAAGAATTCTAATACAACTAATTACTAACTTACTATCTATTAACGAAGAGTAAATACGCTAAAAACGACAAAAAATAAATAAATAAATAAATAACAAACAAACAAAACAGAAAAGCCAAAAAACAAGGGAAATTAGCCAGAATCAAGAAAATTATTTTCACAGCTTGACTTGCACCTTAGCTTAGCATTTCACGGTTACCGGCGGTCGATTCGATACATCAAGTTAATTCCTTCAAGATGTAACTAATTTCACGTACGTCGCTTAAAGAGCGAAGAATATTCACCCAAAATGTTGTTCTTGTTCAATTGCAAACTTTACTTGAAGTGATCGAAATTTTTGTAATTTCACTGCTTGAGTTTGTATCGAAACGACCGGTTTCGCATTTCACCACAGCCGTGCCTTGTGGTTATTCCAGAGCTCGAAAAAAGTCCCGTAAGGTAGCCCAAAACAGGTATATTTTTTGCGGGATCATGTGCTTATATACAATTGTGGAAATGCTAATGAGATACCGGCTAAATAACTGTAAAATATTTACTTCTGAACTTTAAAATGACCGTCGAACGGTCGAAACGTGGTTCGTTTTTAACGTTAATTTTTATGGTGAAATCCGCTTTGAAAAATTTGTTGATTCGAAGTAACTTTTTTAGCTTACTAACCGGATGAGCGCGAGTCCAGATAAGTCATCTGCTAACAAAATCATTAAACCTTTAAACCCTAAGAGTGATCAGCATCAAATTTCTCCTTGTAATATCAATGCTTTGTAAAACTTAGTGGTCATAAGAATTACAGACATGATCACACAAGATGAATTTGCCTTTTATTTTATCAACTTCTCCCCTCTACTTCTGTAGGAAAAGAATAGGTGCAGCAAATGAGAATTCAAATTTTGATCTAAGGGTTTAAAGGGTTAAGGTGGCTCGATAGGGTTTTTTCATTGTCAATACCTCCCAAGTTTGAGCATAAGCTACCTCGTCATTAACAAAGATTTGGAAAAATTATTACCACATCTGTATTAGATAAAGATGAAAATTCGTTTTGATCAGGGTTATAATGACATCGGAGTTGTCGTGGCATCGAAATTACGCCATATTTTACATGCAGCCGTATTTCTCGGCACTGGGAACTCTTCTTTCAAAATCGTTCTCGGGAGCTTTTTCCTCTAATAGCCGCGTCGATGTTCGTGAAGTTAAAGCGAAATCCATAAGAGCATTATCGAGATATTTTTTGTTTATGGTTAGAAATATAACGGTAAAAATTGGACAATCTTGATGTTTGGCCGTTATCTGTAGGAAATGAAGCGCTTTGCCTTTTGAAATGCAATTTCAACTCATAGTAGTTTCAGTCTTTTTAAAAACGTGTGTGAAAGAAGTTCATAGTTTGATTTTCAAACGTTTGTCTCCAGCGTTTGATCATCAGCATCATCTCGTCACCTGATGAGGACGGTGACATAAGTCTGAAGGACACTCAGTCACTTGTTACTGTCATCTCACTATTAGCACAGCATTTGGAGCCAGATGGACAACAGGTAATTAAAAAGTTGACATTCGGACGGCTTTGTGTGGTTCCCTAGCCCTATGAAGCAACTTAATTACCCATTCTCTGTTTTGCCCCCATTTCGTAGTCTATTTTCTGCCTTTTTTGCCCCCCATTTATCATTTTCCCGTTCCGGTTGCTTGCTAGCCATCACCCGATTTATTGACATCCTTGACATTTTTTGTTCATAGTTTGCGGAGTTACAGACCTGGGTACACAGAATATGTGCAGACCACAATGTTGGTGAGAAATATAATTTCTTTTTCAAGTTTCTTGTGATCCCGCTCTTGTTTCAAGTGACCTATCTGGCTATTGGGCATCCCTTGGGTTACCTGGTTCATGTGCTCTGTCTGGTATGTCTGGATCCCCTGGCTCCTGCAATAAACAGATATGTGTTAATATATCAAAGATGTCCATAATAGTTAGGGGTGTTCGTATCGTTAAGGTCTACAAAATAAGAGGTTTCACTGTATTCTCTGTCTAACTACTTTTTTGTAGATGATCCTTCACTCACCAAGTGTTTAATGACCCTGCTGTACTCTCTTACACTGCAGTCAAAAACAAGCGCGGGATTGGTAAGTTAAAAAAAAAAAAAAGAACAAAGCTTCTCACCGTTTATCATACTAAGTCTACAGCTAAACATGAACTTTATAAATGTTCTTTGTGCCAAAAAAATGCTGTCCATCCATACACATCATGTTTCTGGTCATGTCATATCATCTTTATATCATGTTTCAAGTTGTTTGTGCTGTTCATTTCATTGCCATTCGACTTCGAGGCAAAGAAGCAAGTCTCTTTGACTCCACCCCAAGGTAACAGGATGTAACCCTCTCTCTCATTACTCTAGGTTCGCGATATTGCTCAAGACGTTCATAGTCAGCTTGGAGATGTTGATGAGGTACAACAATTCATGTAATGACTGTAATACAGTTCGTACTGTTTGGGAGTTGCTCAGTATGTTCTGAGGCTCCTTTTATATAGAGAAAACCTGTCCCGGGTACAAGGGTCACACTCCAAGCCGAGTCAATTGTTGCGAACATTTACATGCGAAAAACGTTGACCCCTTTGACGGATCAACAGCCCTCGCGCATGCTCTGATTGTCTTGCCTTGACTGAGTTGACTCGGCTGGGCGAGCAAAAACGTTTATGTGGAGTTGGCCTGGCTAGGAGGTAGACCCCATCACCACAAAGTAGACACTGTTTTAATGGTGTCACGTAAATAATTTTTTTTCGGTCTGAGAACGTATCGGAAACAGGTTATGCAATGCCTTCCCGTTTCTCCATGGTCAATGTTTTTTCCAAAACAGCGCCCATAAAGTGGAAAACAACAATATATATATAGCTACGTCACGAAATGGCAATAATGACAAAAAACCAATGCGCGAAACATTAACATACGAGATTAACGATGCAAGTCTTAACTCCACCACAGTAACCTTGTTCGAAATTTCTCAGAGAAATCAAACTCAGTCATTCTGTATTCCCTTTCAGGAGATTGAAGTTGAAGACAGAACTCATTTTGCAATCGTTAATCCAAGAACTGCGGCGCCAACCGTAGCAGTAAGTCCAGTCCAGTATATTTTTCTAATTCAGCAATCCTGTTGCCATGGAGTTGCCTTGTTGAATTGTCGTTCGAGGTATCGAATAGGTCAGTGGTTGTCGTGCGGTTATGGCGGCCCTTCAGCGGCTCCGCCAATTTTTGTAGTTTTTGCTATAGTTTTCATCTTATTTTTTTTCTTTTTCGCTCGTTTGTGTTGACATGGTACAGCTTTAACCTAAAGTTATCTGGTACCGTTTTGTTTTGTTTTGTTCTATTTTATTTCTATCAATTAATAAACTGAATTAATTAATTTTTCTTTGTCATTATTTATTTTTTGTATTATTCCGAATTTAAGTCATTTTCGTCTTTCTCTTTCGTGTGTCTAAACCCTATAGAATGTAATCTAATTATTGTTACTACTCAGCTCGTTTAGTTTTTTGCTATTCTGGGTAATTTTTTTGCCCGATTTACTTTGATTTATTCTGTTTTTTTGGAAACGTTTTTAAGTTGGCAAATAAAATGGTTGGTTGTTGTCAAACAATGAAGCGAAACCAACTTTCACTTGCGTACTTCTCTTCCTTGTTTGAAATGGAAAGAGTTTATCACTTAGTATTTTGAAAAAATAACCCTTGGAGCGTGATAATAAATCAACACTTGTGCTAATGGTCAACTTTAAAATTTGCATAGCTACTACTGGTGAATCAGATTGAGAAAATTGTGGATGAAATGGAATGGGCACTAGTAAAGGTCAAAGGTGACACCATATCAACCGTAACGGATACAACAGGTGAGATGGGAAGAGCACACGTGTTACCCGTAACTCTTCCTAATATAAGGGCCTGTTTACCTGGAGTTGGGGTCCCCAGGTAGGTAAGGTAACCCTCTTAGGTGGGGTAACCCGCCCGTCCATATAATCTATTATGTGGTTACTCCACCTAGCAGGTTACCTCACCTACCTGGGGTCCGCAACCTCCATGTAAACAGCCCTAAGAGTAAGGGCAAATATTCACCCAAAAAGCACTGTACCGTCCCAGCAACAATGCGGCGCGTTTTGACTTTTTTTTTTTAACGGTGGTGATATGACCTATTGAAAAGGGATTTAGCTTTTTAAAATTAACTTTCTTTGCGTCCTTATGCTGTCTTGAAGGATTAACTAAGCGCTAGGCGTTGTCCCTTTCGTAAACGTTCGTTGCCATTTTTAAGACACATAACTGATTTTTCACCCGGTAATGAGAGTGTTCCTATAAAAAAGAAAGAAAATCACAACCCGGGGTCGAACCCAGAACGTTAACATGGGTTAATATTTTTTAGAGGACAAGGTTCCAAGTTCCCCTGAAAGCTGTCCACGTGGTGTCCTAGGGCAAGCTATTTGCCACCGTCTCTGCACGGTTGTTGCTGCTCTTCATGAGCTGTCTCAGTCCGCTCTTCCAGACGGTCCGTGTACAGAAGGCGCGCTCAAGGTAAGTGCGAGTTCTGCACGTGTGACATACGAATTTCTAGTGGCCTTTTTTTCCTGGTAACTATGGCCGTGCTTTCCCGTTGAAAATACTCTACTTAAAACAAGAGCTGTCTATTCCAGCAGGGTTCGTACATATCATACAAAACTTGGAAAGTCTTGGAATTTAAGAGTTTCATTTTGTAGGCCTGGAAAGTCATGAAATTTAATTGTCGGTCCTTCAAAGTCATGGAAAATTACAGTTTTTTTGTGGTAGATTAGCTACTTCACATGACTGGAGGAGACAATGTAAGATAAAGAGTAGGGATTAGACAGTGCGAACAGCACGCATTTTTGTGGACGCCAGAGTTTGTATCCGTTGAACTGTTAAAAGTCAAAAAATACTCTAAAGCAACAAACAACTTTTTGAAAGTGACAGCCAATCTTAAGGTCATGGAAAACTTGAAAAGGTCATTGAAAAAGTCATAAAAAGTCATGGGAATTGAAGAGCTCAAAAGAATATAAATTCTGTTAAAACAAAAGCTGTCTACTCCGGGTGTAATTTCATTTGCCATTTACGGAAAAGTTGTTATTTTAATAGTAGTAAAAGAGATCACTTCTGGCACTTGGTGTTTTTTAGTCACGTGGTACTAAATCCGGCCCTCTGTTTGGCTGGCGTCGGAAGTGGCCTGTTTTACTACTGTAGTTTGTCAAAAGACGTTTTTCCATTATTTTGTCCTCTTCGTTACTGCGGAAAGGATTTAGTTTAGTGGTTTTTTTTGTAGGTCCTGACAAAAGTGTATAATACCCTTGGTGCTCTTGCAAAATATGTAAGTGAAAATTAATCACATTTCTTAATTACACCTTAATTCTGAAGTTCCAAATAACGTTGGCTTAGTCAATAACAGTTGGGCTTTTTCATTCTAATTATTATATCTTAAGAAACAGATGTGTAAATTGTGACTGGACTGGTAAAATTTCTTTGTTTCCTTTTGTAATAATTCTTTCGGTTGTCGTTTTCATTTTTTAGCACTAATGATAACTTCTTGAGTTTTTAATACATTTTTAGTTGAAACACCTAGTAAGAGGTCGACAAGTAAAAATCTTTGCTTATTTTGCTACGTTGTTTGTTTTGATTCCTTGGCGCAATGTTATTTGTTTGTGTTGCAGTATTTGTCCCTATACAGTCAAAGACTTGGCTATCTTCCAGCAAAGTTTGAGAAACTGGTAAGTGACTGTACATTGCAATCTGTTGAACGAATGGGAACTTGTATCAAAGACGTGTAGTGGATGTAAAGAACGAGAAAATGCTTTTAATTGTTTTTTTATTTACCTTTGTTCAGTTTTAAAAGTGACTTTACGTGGGAACATAGTTATTAGAGGAGACTGGTTATGAAAAGCGGCAAACATCAATGATAAAAACAACAGTGCTGCAGTTTATGTTGGAAGCACCCTGAAAGTGCACAATCCTTTGTTTTCTGTTGGCAAATTGTTACGGAATATATTAATGCAACGTTTTTATTGGTCAATACAAACAAAATGATAGGAATTCTTTTGAACGTTGTGCACTTTCAGGTCCACAAAAACATATAACAAAGGAGTCTGACGGGTTTCATAACCATTCCACTCAATTAACTATGGTGGGAACGTACATAGCGTTCGAAGAGGTCGGACGTGCCTGGAGCAGCTCCCCAAGTTTTCCAGTAATTTATTAACCTGCGAACTAGTCTCTTGTGTGTTGTATTTGCAAATATGTTTCTAATAAAGTTAAGTTGAGTGGAGTTGGGGAACCCAGAACCAATGCAATGCCTTTTGATATTAGCTTGAAAACTTCTCGATTTTAAAAGGAGTAATAAAACGGGCAATGTTAGATTACTTTAGTCGGGAGGTGATCCCGACATACCTGGTGTTAAGACACCATAAACGTACGATGCACGTTCGAAACTGCTTATACATACAAACGCTGAAACTTTATTGGACCAAAATAACGCTAGGGCAAAAGTAGAACGAGAGGTTTTGTGAAAGTTTCCGATTCGTAGACATGCGAGGCCATTTTTTAGACACTTTGAAAATTTTTGAACTGTTATTGTCAAACTCATTAATTATTCATTCAGTCAAAAGCCAATAAATGACGACCATTTGGGTCAGGTGGATGAATCGTGATACCTTATGAAACACCAGATAAAACATCACCAGGTTTTCATCTGAGATCAGACACTAGCATTTTAATGAGATGTTTAATTGATTAACGCAACTCATGGAAAGAATGCAATACCATAAAAAGTGCCACTGCATAATTTTCTATTGTTTCATTTGAGAAGACATGTCAAAAACTCGGGCTTTGTGCGTCATCGCGGGTTCCAAACACCTCTACAGCCTCATGCTTTCATCTGTTTCTTGGTGTTTGGAACCCGTGATGAAGCACTCGCCCTCGTTTTGGCATTTTATTTGAAAGTGTTTCCTGAAAAGAAAGAAATTCACATCCCAGATTCAAACCAGATCCTTTCGACAAGGCAATCTCTTTCCTTGCCTAGTCCCCGTACGGCGTTTTCCCTGGCCTTCTCGGTCAATTCACTTGGTGTGGTATCCGAGACGAACGGACGAGACACATCTTCTTCGCTTGAACCACGTGACCCGAAACGCTTTGGCCGCGCGGAATAATGAGGCCTAGGGACCAGGCAATCTCTTTCCTTACCTCTACACTTCCGCACCGAACCCCCATGATTCCGAAACGTAAGACTGAGGTTGAGTCGTTCACTGTACTGTAAACAAAAAAGGAAAACGTAAACGACTCCAAGGACGCTACATTAAGTGATAGTTGGGTCTTCATGCTGAAGAGAACAATGGCAACGATTGACCATGCAACTGTTTAGTCGGTTTAAACTTCATGTATCTCAAACGCTGAACAACTCTAATGAAAATCAGATCAGGTAAAAATTCCATGAGTGTGCAAAAGTAGACGAGATTGCATGAAAATTCAGGCCAAAGGAGAAAAGATTTCTTGGTCCCAACTTTATTTTTGAGGATCTCTTAACTCTAAACAAATAATTTTATCATAAATGAGTATTACATAGCACTTGTCTCAGATTTATTTGCTCCGCAGGTAAAAATGACCGGCACTCACTTGTCCCAGCAAGTCTACGCCCTTCTCACGTACATTCAGGCAGCTCAAACTCAGAGCCTTATGGAACAAAGTACCACTGCTAAGAACAAGGCTAAAGACAGGAAAAAGACAGCCAAGGGACAAAATCTGTCTGGAAAGGTAGACTTGTTTTTACTTTTTGTCGCCAACTATTAATTACACAATGGCTACGTCTTCATAATGAAGAACATCGACTAAATGCAAGGGGGTGTAGCCAGGACTTTTCAAAGGCGGGTTCTCACTGCCGGCTAAAAGCAGTAACGCGATTAAACATGACGTTTTGGCGATGACAACATTAGTTATTTCATTTCTCTTTCAACCCTCTAAGTTAAAGTCTTTGCTTGGTTGGCATTTTTCAACCAACTCTTTTAGTTTAAGGAGACTTTTTTAAAAATCAAGTCGCTAGCTCCTAGATTTTAGGCGCTACCTCTCTACAACGGCCACCTCTCTACAGCGGCCACCTCTCTACAGCGGTCACCTCTCTACAACGGCCACCTCTCTACAACGACCACCTCTCTACAACGGCCACCTCTCTACAGCGGCCACCTCTCTACAACGGCCACCTCTCTACAGCGGCCACCTCTCTACAACGGCCACCTCTCTACAGCGGCCACTTTCTTCTGTTCCCAAGGTGGCTTTTGTGGAGAGGCTCAACTGTATATCGTTTATTGTTTCTGTTCATTTGCATTTGATAATGGAGACATGTTGTCGCCGAAACGTTATGTTTTAATCGCGTTACATTTTTTACTTAAACAAGGTGCATTAAAAGGTTCATAATTAAATGTGACTGTTTTTCTTTCTTCAGGCGAAGGTGATGAAGGAAGTGAAGTCGATACCAAATCTGATTTATGCAATTGAACAATATGAACGTTACCTGATACAGTTGTCAAAAAAGTCCAAGGTAAATTCACATAAATTCCTGTGTATCAGGAGATTATTCGTTTTCCTTAACTTAAAAGAAAATTTTCATATTAACTCGGAAGGATGGGTAACACTAGGGAGCTTAACCAACCACGACGTCGACGGCAACGAGAACGGCAAAAAAGCAATACGGTTAAATTAGCAAACAACAACTTTGCACGTGCATCACGCTTTTTTGTATATTTCTTAGCCGTCCTGCAACGTGAAAATGCCTAATTTTACGTTTTGTCGAGGAAGGGGACACAAGACAAACACTTTCTTTTTCTTTTCCTGAACTTTGATACAGTCCTTCAGAATGCATCTCCAAAAATTAAACGAGATGGAATAATCGCGATAAAGTTTGAGGCAGCGGGACTTCTCTTTATGAGTGACGTTTTCGTAGCCGTCGCCGTCGTTGTTGCTGAAGCTCCCTACTTTCACTTACTTCCCTATCTTTTGACCGCCATTTTGAATTTTTGAGATGACCTTTGGTCGTCGCTTATGCTCAACAACTTGCCACTTTAGAAACGAGAAGGAAACTTCGCAAAAGCTTCTAGAGACTGTTACTAGGGACGGGGAAAAATCGGCCAAAAGCTGACCCGGCGCGTCTCCAGAAACAATTGCGGGACGCATTTCGTACGCATTGTCATGGGATGACAACCGAGCCACTTTGAATTTTTCAAGTCACCATCTCCCGCCTTCCTCAGCTCCAAATCCTCCCACAAGAACATTTGGCGTGTTTTTATTTCTTTTGCCATTGAGTCGAAAATATCAGCCATATGATGATATAATGTACTTCACAGATCAACTTAATGGAACACTTCAAACGTAGCACAGCAAGAGATTTTCGCATTAATGGTGCCACATTAGAAGCTGCCCTGAGAGAAGAGTCCAGTGATGAAGAGGAAGATGATGAACTTAACGCCGATGAACAAGATGAGGTAAGTTTAAACCAACGAATTCTCGCCATTATAATTACCAGACGAGAGAAACGCTGGGTCGAGTTACCTTTCCCAAAGACTTCTGGGACTGGGGAAAAATTAGCCAATAGATCAGCTGACCTGCGCGTCTCCAGTAACGATCACCGGTCCCCTTACCGCTTCTCAAGTGGACGTGTTTGTGAGTTATGTCTGGCCGAGTGATTTGGGCGCTGGGTCATAACGCTTTTACCACAGATGGTGTCATTAGAAAGCGAACACTGGCGTTGGGCATCGATATGAACTTATGTCCTCGTTAACTCTGACTTGATGCTTCTGAGCTTACTACAGAGAGACAGACATTTTATTTCAGCAGGGAGTTTCTTCAATTTTTCTGTGATTAAATTAAACTACCATCTTCTTGGCGAGGCTTGGTACAAATTATAAAAATTATTGAAATCCTTGTACTACTATAAGAACTTAGTGACTCAAATAAACTAGCCAACTGCCGTATGGTTGAAAATCTTTCTCATATTCAGCCAGTCGAGAAGACATCGAGTGTAAATCAGTTTTAGTAGAGGGAACTGCCTACCTTGATCCCCTGCAAAACACTGTTTTGTGATCACGTTGGTTATTTGTTGTGTAAATAAAAGGTTTTTCTCTTTACATTTGTCAATCAAACTGTTCATAAAGAAAACATGCTTGCAATATCTTCTTGTATTATTAGTACCAGACTGAATTAACCAAACATCTCATGGAGCCATTGGTCTCCGTCTGGACAATGTTCTGTGCGGCCGTTTTAAATGAGAACTCTTCACCACTTTGAAACTCCACCAAGAAACCTTCAGTTTTCAGTTTTCAATTTGACGAATATTTCAGAGAATAAAAGTTAGAATTGTTCTCGAATTTTGATTTGGAGAACTATCTACTTCTAATTCACAGAACAAGTCTCAAGAGGAAGAAAGCAAAGAGCCCCCGGCGAAAAAGGGAAAACTCATGGAAACAAACAAAAAAACAAGCAAGCTTAGTTTAAAGCAAAAATCTTCAAAACAGCCACTGTCTCAAGGAAACAAGTAGACAGACCTGCGGGTCTTGCTGTTGTGTTCAGCATTACGATGCCAATAGAGTCAGAGTAGAATCCCTTTCATGCAAATTACGGAAAATTTTTCAGCCTTATTAGAGTTTTAAGCCTTTCCGGCGCGATGATTCTTTTAGTCAAATACAGTAAAAACCCACGACTATGCACCCGCGTTTTCCCAAGTTAGCCCAAACAGGTTCTTGCATATTTAGGTTCTTAAATACGTTCTCATTTTGAGACGAAAAAATACATTGTAGCTCTAAAAGTATTTAATGGTATTCAGCTCTTTCCTAATGTAAAACCTGCATACCATTACATTGCAGCCCTCTTGTCCAAAGAGGACCCTGAATGTTGACTAACCTTACTTGCCCAAGTGTGCAGAAATTTTTTAAAGATAAAAAATAAGAACCTGTTTCAAATTTTAGGCTAAACAGGTTCATGTACAAAAGGGAACTAACTGGCAAATTTTAGCCTAACTTGTTCTTCAAAACCAAGTTCTTAGTCGCGGGTTTTTACTGTACTTCCATTCTCCCTCACACATGTCTCTTACCCAATGGAGAGGGGTTCAGATTTAATAAAACGTCTTCTTCAGTTGTTAGTTTCCACAACCTTTCTCATGTTGATTGTTGTTGAGGCGTGGTAGGTCAAGAGATTAGGATTACTGCCAGGTTGGCGTTTTATCTCCAGTGACTGTTAATAGTAAGAATTCAGATGTTATCGACTCTACTCGCGTTGCTCAGATGAAAGACCAAATATGCACATTATTTTTGTTAAAACAACCAAAAGTGATTTTAAATATACGTGTTACGATGCCCAGTGTGTTTGTGATACCTTTAAAATGTCTTTCACTGAAAAGGGAAGGTTGATCGCTGTTTACTGTGTTGTGGGGCCTTTTGCGACGAAAAATGTTACTATTACAAAATACTTCATAACTAGCACGACAAAGGTGGATGAGGAGCTTTAAAATTTTTGTACAAAGTTCGGGAAATACCATGGAGGCAAACGGACAGTTTTTGTTTTGCGCCTAAGGTCATCCTCACGGCTACAACTGCAAATCTGGTGGAAGGACAAAAATTGTAGACGTTCATCTTGGCGAAAAATGGTTAAAGAAAACTCACAAAGGAATTCTACTTATTTTTTATTTATTGATTTTTAAATTTCCTTTTTGCTCCAGTTATCTTTACTTTTGCGCAAATAAAAAAAATCCATTCTTTCGGGCTTTTTTTGAGATAAGCAGTTGAGACACACTCAAGGTTGTCTGTTACCGCCCAATACGCAATATATGTCGCCCAATTTCCCAACTTCAAAGACAGTTCTTTTTCTATTTTTTCTTTCCTTATCGGCGTCTATACCCAGAGGTCACCTTGTTATCTGATGTGACCTCAAGTTTCCCGGCAATGTTGACACCGCTCCAAACCGGATCTTTTTTATTATTTTGTTTTTCTTGCCCTATTTTTATATCCCGTCGCACAGTTTTGAATTTTAGATAACCTGTGATAAATTATATTACTCTTACCAAAACACTCCAAAGAAACCATAAAAGGAGACACTGCACCAGGGTTTGCGGACGCGAGGCTCCTGAGCTATTTCCACGATAATATCTTTAAAGATTTTAAAGCTTTTAAAAAAGCTGCCTTACTCTAATAAAATTAATCGCATTATGCTAAGACAACAAATAAATGATAATCGTGACAAAAAGGCAGACATGAGAAAGGGTTACGCAAAATTGTAAAGCCGCTTATACGCTAAACAAATATTCGGTGAAAATTCGTTCAGTGATTCGAAGTAGTTTGAAATACACAATTTAAAGAAAACACCTTACTTTAAATGATATTTGACTTGTAAAATAAATTCCTATCGGAGTCCGATTATCTCGGCCTAAAAAAACATCACAAAGTGTTAGTGGAAACGAGGGGTCTTAAATAGTTTCTGTCACTTTCTTTCATCCCTTTCGATTTCTTATTTTGTATGTTTTTTCCGCTGAGCCGCCTAGTCCAAAACCGTTTAAATAACGTCACAAGAAGTCGCAATTTCGCGTCACTTGTATTACTGAGCTTTTCAAGGTCTAAATCTCATTTAATTGAGGTTTAGATGGTACAAGAGGCTTTTCTTTGCCCTCTCATCGGGTTTATCTGACCCATCTAAATCCAAATTTAATGAAAATTCTTATAATAACTGTAAAATGCTAAAAAGCAAATACCGCCACGCAAAAGTACTAGCAAAAAGATTTCATTTGGATGGTAACTTCCTAGGACTTTGTCCACGGTCTCAAAAGTTACAATATTTGACTTCGTAGTCCGCCGATAAAAAAGCGTCATTGCATGGACACCAAGCGAGTGGAACCGAACGAACAAGGTGAAAGTTTTCATTATAGGCATCCTTAGTTTACGACACCAAAAAGCGGAACTGTCTCTGGAATACGAGCAATAATGAGTTTAGTCTATTTTGACAAAGAATGCGGCAACCCTTTATTTTGGTTCTAACATTTGCATCTGTTGACAAAATCTCGGTACTTGTTTTGTTAGTACTCAACAAAATAAGATTTTGACAGTATAAGAATGAAATGACAGAATTCAGTTCAATTGTTTTCAAAGCTGGTAGGCGTGGCAAATTCATTTTAGCCTACAATAAAACTGTTTTTTTTTAGGGTTCTTAGTTGAATCTGTGACAATGTAACATCGACCCAGGGGAGGTTTTGTGTCCAGCGGTTTTTGGTGAAAACAAGGGTTTGTGGGGGTTGCTCAGTCTCGCGGGCTCAAAAAACCTTCCTTAAGTCGATAAACATTTGAATTAGTTCCCATATCTTTAACCGCAGCAGAATTAGCTCAGTCGGTAGGGCGCATGACTGCAGAGCGGGAGGTCGTGGGTTCGATTCGAGGGGCCGGGCCAACACTCGTGGTCTTAAAATCACTGAGAAATGATGGTACCTACTTTGCCCTGCATGCGACTAGACCCTCGCGTGGCTCGGATGACTGCGTAAAATGGGGGTCCCGTTTCCAGTTGGAGCTATTGGTACTTTCGAGCTAAATACATCGATACCAGGCGCGGATCTAGGATAAATACTGACCGATTTCCTAAGCGAGGGGCCGAGGGAGCAGGCCTCTAGGGGTATTCTGATTCATTGAGGGGGCATCTAATGCTCTTAAACTGCAAAAAAGAAAACATTTGTCCAGACCATTTTCCAAATTTCAACTTGGTAAGTTTTATTATTATTAAAAGTATGTGTTTATTATGAAAAATCTGACCGATTTCCGCAAAACGGTGGAAACCGGTGTGAATCCGCACCTGGATACTCGAATCAAGTGCTTTTTGGGGGGTTCCAGGACTATGGTGAAGTTACCAGCCGAGGCTTGTGGACAACGTTAGGAGCTTCCACTTTTGTCGGAAAATGTAAATTTTCCATATAAGCACTGTGCTCGCAATACGACTTCCAGGGTCGAAATTTGATTGGGGTGGCCTCAACACCACTCAAGCTAGTCTGGTGATGCGTCTCGGACATATCTGTGAGTGATGGATATGTGCATGGCGCTTTAAAATATAAGAACTACGGCTGAATACTCGTAACTCATCAAAGGAAACAAAAACCTTTTAATATTTGCTAAATTATACGCAAAAATTTAGTTCCATTCTCCAACGATACATCTTGGACAACGTTCACATTTACATTTTACATTTAGTTTCCCTGTACTGTCGCCCGCACCCTAGTAGGGGACAAGATAGAGCCAGGAAAGCGGCAGGAACAGTCGTCTGATAAACAACTTGAACAAAAACAAACATTTACTTGTTTCCTGGTCATAAGTAATGTTCTCGCAGAAAACTGAATCGACCAACAAGTCTCCTTTCAGTAATATAGAAGGAAATACAGTGTCAGAGATACGTCCTGATCGACAAATTTCATTCGAATATTACGCATTAAAGTCTTATAAACAAAATTTTTATTCATTATAAACAGTACCATGGGAAAGTACTACGTAAAAGCCTACTTTGAATGGCTACTGACCCAACTTTAACTTCAGAGTCTGAACGAAATCTTGTAACCACTCAAATATAACCTCTCGGATTTGCTGTCGCATGGTACTTCGATTTCTTTATTGCAGTTTTACTGACTTCATAGCTAAGCGCTTCCGTTAACAACCCAACAGCTCGAACCGTCAAACACGGCATTATAAACATTCTTAAGCACTATTTACGATGAAGATCGCGCTAACGTTGCCGTACAAGGAGGTGTTTGAAACCCTTTAATATGGTTTCTGCAAAATTTGGGACAATTTTGGTGGTTTGATATAATCATATAATGTACAAATATTTCAAGTGAGATGTTTCTAGGCGGAGTGGTGGATTTGCGCAAGCTTTATTTAAAGAGGTTTCATGCAAGAAGTCAGTGATAAACCTGTGTCCCTTTAACTGTACTGTGTCGATCTAATAGGAGACACTTTTCAAATCGAAGTTGGATTTAGGTTGGATTTTGAGGACAGGGAACCAAGCGTCCATATCTCAAAACTCACAAACAGTTTTTGGGACGGAAATGTTTTTTCTCATCCGATTTTTTAACGATCCTTGGGACTTTTGTGCAAAGAAGGCCAACACACTTCTTGATTTTGTTAAGGTTTCAAACTTTTTCTATTTGAAATTTATCAAAGTTTTGAGAAACGCACGCCAGGAAAGACAGCCAAGTAACAAAATCAACCCACACGCGGCATCGACGCTGGAAATTCAACCGAGACACACGTTTTTGCATGTCACATTGGTGGAACTCCTGGCCTCGGCTGTTCAACGGTTGGATAGCGCTATCCACCGAAAAAAATAGCTTTCCAGGGAACAAGTATTACGAAGACCAATTGCGTTAACCACAGGATGGTGATTTATCCAGCGGATTATCCACCGTTTGAACAACTAGAGCCTGGTCACGTGTTCTTACCACTGCGCCAAACGATTTCATTTCTTCTCCTTTGAAATTGCACGTTAAAGTTGTCAATGATTTACCATTAAAGTGTGTTCAAAACATTAAAAAAACGTTGAGCGGCAACGTTATCGCCAACTTCGCTCGCTAACTAAAGTGACAATTATTTAGTACAGTCCTAGTTTGGCCACTTAGATGAATCACCCGAAACAATATAGACTGTACCACAAAACACAGTTACTTCTCAAAGACTTCCATTTAAATTATAAAACTGAAGATTTTATCCACTATTTCATCATTTCAAAATAATGGGAGATTTAAACCCGAAAGCTAGAAACAAAGTAAGATAATTTTTGGAACACCTAGAGTGATCTATAGTCTTACTAGTCTGCCACACAGCCGTTTTTAGTGCCGTCACGGAACGCTCCTCCCCACAAAGGGAGGAACGTGCTGACACTAAAAACGGTAGCCTGCGAAAACATCCGTTTCTCCTCGCTCTTCGTAGCTGGGGAGAAACGGATGTTTTCGCAGGCTATAAAAACGGCTGCAAGGGAGACTACAAAAGTCTATTGGCTAACGAAATACTCTAACCCAGTTCTCTAACCTTCAGTCAGCGAAACAACAGCCTGTTCCAAGCGTTTAGATAGTGGAAGTTAGCGCGAAATGAGAAGAGGAGGGAAAAAAGCCGAGGAAGGAAAGATTTTTCCTGCTCACTTCTCCCTGCCTCCTTTGCCCCGTCCGTACTATCTGAACGCCTGGAACGCGGGTTCGCGAAACAAGTATCCTCGCTGTTCTTAGGGAGTTTTTATTCCTTCCTGTCTTTTCTTCCTTTACGATTAGATCTTTCCTTCTTATTCTTTTTGCCTTTCTTTCCTTTTTCCTTCTTTCCCTTCCTGGTCTTGCACGCACTTCTGTGTCTAAGTTTGATGGGCCTGTGCTTGTTTCTCCGCGCGTGACACATGGCAACCCTTAAGCGGCAAACATTTGGGTAGGTTTTGCCATCCGTCCCGCACACAGGTTTATCTATGATTTTGCAGTCCTCCCATCTGGGGCATGGTTTAGGTGTGGCAGGTGCCCCACAAGGCCCGTTGTACTCTAACCGTAATGAGCCTCTGACTTTCTTGGGCAAACCACACTTGGCAAGAGCAAGAAAGCAGCCATTTTTGTAGGTTTTCTTGTCCGAGCCGCAAACAGGCCGTTCTTTCGATGAGCATTTCTTTGGACATGGTTTGATGGAGGTGCGGGTACCGCAAGCGCCTAGAAAAAATAGAAGGAGAGTTTCTTTTATGATTTAATATTTCGAACTTGAAATGCAAACAAATGTTTCCAAAGCATGTGATTTCAGATGATGGACATTCCAGCAAGTATTTGTTTTTTATGAACGCCAATCGAGTTTGAGCCATTTTGAGGGTCAGTCGAAGACTAAGACCTCTCTAAACCAAAAGTGCTGAAAAAGACCCACTACCCTCTAGAGTAAATAAAATGAACGCTTTTAAATCGAACTAGGGAATTGTAATAACTAATATGTCTTAACATTTAGTGACGTTGCCTACAAGTGACTCATCCACTCCCCCAACTCAATCAAACTTCCTCGAAAACTAGGACCTCGAAATCTAAGACCTTCACATTCAAAACTGAGTGATAACAGCATCTCCTTACAACAACACATGACAGGTATATCCAGGTCTTAATTTTCGAGGTCCGTTCTCGAGAGGTCTTAGAGTCTTAGCTCTTAAGTCTTTGTTTGCCCGCGAGTAAGCTCTCTATAGAAGAGCTTGGTAGCAGGCTAAGTCTTTGTTTTCGAGACAGCCGCCATTTTGTATACTGCCGACAAGGAAAAGGGAAATCAACATGTCACTAATTACATACACTGTAGTCTGCTACACAGCCGTTTTTAGAGTCGCGTGACGGCACTAAAAACGGCTGTGTAGCAGACTACATACACTGGTGTCTACTTACGTTTTACATCGGCAGATGATAGCATGAATGTTTAGAATTATGAGGATAAAGCTTAAAATTCTAGAAACAACTTGAAGTTTACAAACATGTCACCAAGTACATACACAGGAACCTACTTAATATGTGCTATACCGGCGGAATTTGCAGTGCTGAGCATATTTAAGGCGGAATCTCTATTCACGATTACTGATATAATCCCCTTTACATTCATTCTTAAAGATACTTCACTGGAACTCGAATACTGACAAAAAAGCGATGATCAAAGTTTTAAGGTATTTCCTGTCGTTGTTTTCAAAATATATGCCTCCTTTTTTGAAACAACGAACTGTTTCAATTGTTTGTTTCAGTAGTCACGGAGTGGAAAAATTTATACAGTGTGTGGTATTACGAAAGAACACTTATGTCAGCCTAATTATCGGAATTTTCAAAAGTTAAGCCTTTAATAGATCTTCCGGATGGCTAGTCCTTGACGCTTTGAAAGCTTCAAATCACCCACGCACATTGCATGCAAGCTGTTGACAAGTTCCAAATCGGCTTAGGCATTGACTAGTCAGCCCGCAGACGGTTTAAATAATCATTATTTCAGTTTATATTATCTGAAAGAACATTTGTGGGATGTGGAAACTTACTGATACCGGTAATAGTTCAGATCAGACAATTCTTTCTTTTTCCATCAAAGCACTGGTGAATGTGAATTGAGGTAATAGGTGTTCGCTACTGATCAACAAGAATATTGCCTTTGGGTAGGCGCAAAAAATATTCGTTTGCGTAGAAGCATAAAACGAGTTTTTTAAGACTGAATTTGAGCGCCACACTGGCTAGACTAACACTGAAAATCTGTAAGCATAAGCAAGCAGATCGACTACCTTTTCCCTCTATGAAGCATGTCTATCCTCTTTGTTTATTAACTGTATCGATGAACTGTAAACTCGTAAAATCTAGAATGAAAGCAGATTCCAGGGGCACCCAACGGCAATTTTCGGGAAAATATCTGTTCGGAAGACGATTTGAGATCTAGAATTTTCGGAGCATTTGTTGTAAAATTTCTTGCTTGCCTGCTTCTCCTAGGATTTTCGAACATCTACAAAATGGTATAATTACCCATTTTTAACGGATTTTGACCCTAAAAAAGGCCACCTAGAATTTTCGGGAGCCTTTTCCTGGCTGAAATTTTCGAGAAGGTAAGTTTTTATCCCTATAATTTTCGGATCACTAGACTTTCAGCTAGGAAATCCGAACAGATGAAAAGTTTTTAGGGGATAAAAATATGCCTATATCTACCATTTAAATACTAAAATACGTTCAACAATGCTATATCCTCGTTGGGTGCCCCTGAGATTCCTTCTAAAGAAATATGACGGAATGGGCTCAATGAAATCTGTTCAGCTTTCAATCCAATAGAATGATCTACAATCTTAGACAGTGATAAAAACGACGGAAAATTAAGACTCTCCTCTCCCCTAATCTAGGTTTTTTAGCGCTCCCGCGGAATCATTCTTGAGTTCTAGGGGAAGCAGGGCTTAGTTTTCCAAATTGTAGGGTTATATCCATCTAGTCAAGCCTCAAGTGCGACGTGCCGAAATTATATATTCTGTAAGATCAGTTTGTTACTTTTTAAACTTTATTACACTCTTCATTCAGTTGACAAAATGTTACTACTATACGTAGAATTAAACATTTGAATGACATCGATTACATAAGTTGAAGGAGAAACTGCGAGATCTTATATAAAGTTGAGGACTTCATAAAAGACCGTACCCAGCCCATGTGATTTAATAATATATAATCTAAGGAGAGGCAAGGTTTCCTGACCTTTTTTAATTAAACTTCGCGCGCAGTATTGACTTTGATTGCCTCCACGTGTGAGTAACATACATCGAGGTCAACTCAGCTCAGTATAGCAACAAAATTAAATTAAAGACTGCAAAACCGGAAGGTGAAAAAAACTTCCGCTGCTGAAGGTATCTTTTGATAGTTACCACGTTTTTACTGTTATTTCGCAAACTCGGCAATTTGTTGATGTTGAACAGTATCATCATTCTCCGATGAACATTCTTCCGGATTGGATTCCATTTGCCTTAACTGCCAAGCGCTCGAATGATTTTTCTTTTCAATCCTCTACTGCAAAAGAGTCACTGTAATTGTTGACAACAGCTTGCAGAAGAGTTTTCGTGTTCTATGTTCAGAGTCCAAGCCTCGACCGGTTCCTGTTTTGATTAAGTGAAAACTAGCCTGCGGCGCGCGCGAATTTCGTGGCTTCGCCGCTCGTGCGCCCGGCTCGACAAACCGCCATGCTACGCAGGCTAAGTGAAAACTAAAACGCAACTTTCACCAGGGGTTCATATCTCGTCACAGTTGCTACGTTGACGCCCCGTGCAAATCGCTTTGGACTGAATACGTGCATCTTGCTTGATCAATTAACTCTTAAAGTCAAACGTTCTTGATTTATAATCATAGCGGAAATTTTATTTCGAGCAGATACAACAGCTAACTTCTCAAATTCAAAGGTTTAAATTGCGGTTTACAAGGGTGCGTCAGGCTCGATACAATTAAGCCGTACTCCCTCATAAAGGCTGGAAATCGGGCTTAAAGGAGGTAAACTGCTTTTGTTTAAACCTAAATCTACAGTCATTTTGAGAGAGAGGTAAAACCAGGGGTAAAAAGGTTCTTATTCCTTGGAAGAAATTCGGCCTTGATTTCCTTTTGAATGACCATTCGCTGAGTAAAATGGATCACCTCAGCATAATTTTTTCGACCAGTTTTGCAGGAAAATATCTAGGAAAAATCATTCCACGAAATTTATGCCATTCATTTGGTGTAGCTTGGAAATGTTTTACTCTTTACAAAACATCTGTATTAACTATTTTTAAACATAGGTCAAAATAGATTCCTAAAATATGTTTACGGAAATGGGAGTCGAAAACAGAAAACATTAGTTCGATTTCCGTTTCCTCTAAGATTAAACAAAATCCATTCGCGCTCTTCTAGATTCAATAATCAATAAACAAACTTAATGCTTTTAAGAGTTTTGGTGCCGCCTATAAGGCGGAAACTCCTAAACGAAACGCTTGTTTTCCTTTCCCTTAAAGTGCAAGAATGACATTCTTTAACACAGAATCTATTTCCGCAGCAATCTTCTTGAAGGCTTTCCTTTAATGTGTTCTTCTTGGATATTGTAATTTTTTTTTTCGCTCGTGTTTTCACGACAGGCCAACACAAACAAACCTCCCGCACTGTAAAAACAAAATAGCGGTACGTTCAATGATTGTATTTGATAGCTCTACAAATCAGTGTCGAGTTTCTGCATAGTTCACTCTGTATTTCAAACTGCACAGCACAAACCACTTGCCGGAGAATCTTGCTTTCACTAAAGGGAACAAGTTCAGTTTGGAAGGAGAATTCCATGCAATATTTTTTATTGCTTTTAAGCTTCTGCATTTGTTTTTGTTTTTTTTTTTTTTGCCGCTATCAAGTATGAATCGACGAAGACCTGAGTGACAGTTTTTTTTTTTAAGGGATTTAACCTTTCAAAAATATGATCTTTGCCTATCGCATAAGGGTCGCAGTTTAATGTTAATAAAAGGTGCTCACTTTCAAAAAATTCAAACGCGGTCTTTGTTTGGATCAATAATTTTGGTTTTGCCAGTAATATTTTTGTTATTGTACACTCTTTTTTTTATACATTAAAATATTTTCTAAGAATATCGAGGCTGAAATTTGCAAAGTTTTAAGAATATGTTAAGAATAAACCCGAGGCTGAGATTTCGAAAAGGATGATGATTATAACCGTATCAATATTATTGCTTCCTCTCACGGCAACCCAACAAAACGAAGAAACCTGCATTGGTTATAGCCAAACGTTCAATGCTAATGACAGTTCGATGAACGGTACATGAAATACATATCTATAATAGACAGCAAAAAAAAAACACAAAATAGAACAAAGGGATATGATAAACTCTTTCTTTTTCAATTATAATTCAAGAATGATACAAGAATATTTTCAGGCTAAAATCGGCAGAAAAATAAGAATGTTCAGCCAGGCCCGAAAACACAACATTCTTCTATAAAACAAGAGTGTATGTGAAAAATGCATTAAAACAGGCAAGTCCAATTTTATCGTATTTGTATGATATCCCCTTACTACTGAGCTAATTAATCAATTAAATTTAATAACGTAAAGATGAACAAAGGCCTCGCTTTGCGCTTCCAATAAAAACTATCACAAATTCACCTCTTCGGTTTTAGCTTACCTCTCTTTTTCATGGTGAGCTTTTTGTTGTTCAACTTCGCTTGACATTTGGCGACTATGAACAGGCAAGTGTTTTTGTAGGTCTTCTTATCGCTTCCACAAATGGGATCGTTCTGGCTGTCGCACTGGCTTTCAAGCGGGCACATTCTTGATTTTTTGACCTTAGGTTTTCCACATTCTCCCTTGTGCAGCATTGTTAGATTTCTGCCGTTTTGTCTCGCCTGACAGCGCGCAACACGAAAGTTGCAAAACGTTAAGTATGTTATGTTGTTGCTCCCACAGACGGAGTGTCTAGTAGAATTCACGACCTTATTACAGTCCTTTAATGCCACCAAGCACTTTTGTGATTGTTTTTTAACCTTGCTGATATTCACTGTGGAATTCTCGCATTGTCCTCGTGACTTTATTTTCAAAACGCTGTCCGTTTTATTAGCTTGGCACTTGGCGTTGCTGAACAGACATACGTTGTTGTATGTTTTGCCATCACTCCCACACACTGGGCGAAGTTTTTTGTTGCAAGGTCTGTTGCAAACTCTTCGACGAAGCTTCGACTTTTCTCTCTTTCCTTCAGCCGCTAACACTGTAACGATAGGAAAGATAGTTTAAATTAATTTGTAATTATAATAAATGTTTTTTAATTTGTAACAATGTATTAAAAATTAAAACTCCAATCTTTTAACCGATTCTACCCTACCATCAAACAAAAAAGAAAAATGAAAGTCATTCCGGTGTTGAACTACGTATCGTAAAATTTAATAAGCCCAGATTCCGGCCGGCGACCCTCACGGCATGTAAACTAAACCCTCGTCTGTCTAACGTTGTTCACGAGCTCTCACAGTTCCTTTTTTAATTAGGGGCATACCATGCTGAACACCTCAAAGTCATGTCATTGTTAAGAACTCTTACAATTTTGACCAACTGATGAAAAAATGTACGGTCTAAGGCATGAATCTAACAATAGAAATTGTAAGGGGATTATCTCCTAAACAACCCTTTAGAAAACGATTTACATGAGTTCTGTCAAAGTGAGAACATGAACATTTACACCTCATAAAAATGTTGAACCTGAGAAGAATTGTCATTGCATACGACGACAATCCGGAGGAATGACGAATTGGTTCTCTAAAAGCTGTCGTTAAGTTCCCGCTAAGAAATAATTACTATCAAGTTAAGATATAATATCCACGAAGGGCAAATTTTGCGCGCATATTTGTGGACTGACATTTCAAAAGACTTACCGTCTGAAATACGGTACAAGACATCCGAAAGGACGGAGTCTCGAGTAAACCCTCTTCATCGAAAAACTGGGTACAGGTTGTTTTGAGTCGTTGGATTAACAGAGTTGACAAAACGCCGCTTATAGACAGAGAAAAAGATCAGTCTTGAACCCGCCAATTCTAATCGTGACATTTTATAGCTTTTTATCGGCGATCACAATTTCCGAACAGATAGAAAACCGTTTAAACAGTTCATAACCCCGTAAATGTGTTATAGGAGAAGTTGAAAACTCTGTCAGCGGCACTCTTTATCTGCGTTGTTTATGTTGGCTAGAGGTTCTGGAAGTAGCCCGAAGTTAAAAGAAAAATCAGCTTAAATGATATTTTAAGAAAGCACGCGTCGAAAATTCCCTCTTGTAATGTAGATAATGTCAGCCACTTGGGCGTAGGTTAGGGAATAATTGCCTTTGTGCGTCTAGCGTTCCAGGGCAAAGAGGGCGGTATTTCGTTCGTGGCTAGCTCTGGTACGAGCTGTGTTCAAGCACGCTTTGCAGCAAAATTCTAATGACAAATCTGTCCTGGGCTCTGTCCTAGCAGGGCAAGATACAAACAAAACTGACTTGAAATTGACGAAAAGTTCATACTGGTATATTTCGGTACAAAGCTGTAAGGACGTTTATATTGGAAAGGGGATCGATATTTTGTCAATTAACGACGCCTCTTCTTCTCATGAACAAAAAACACTTCAAAAATTACTGTACTCACCTGAAATCAACAGCAATACCGTGAAGAAGAGAAATATCCCCTTCATTTTGAAAATATCAAGCCGCGTTCGCCTTTGTCAACCAAGCTGTCAGCAGATCTTGTCGAGTTGCGTAACGCGTCGAAGGTAGATCTGAAATGATCGCCGAATGCTTCTACTTGCACCTTTATCCAATCAACCTCTCTACCCTACTACCCCAGCTAAATGCTTCTGTCCTTGAAAATTCCGGCGGCATTCCATTCATTACAAAGTAAACTTACTGGGGTGTTTTTCTTGTGATAAGATCAGCTGGGTCATACAACTCGTCTCTCGGGTTGTCGCGTTTCTGTACGATAAGAGGCTCAGCTCAATGCGGAAAAGCAGATACTTGCGATTTTATTTCTCCTCACACCGCTCAAGACCCCTGAAAATTTATAAATCATCGTTTCACATCGCTATTTTTGAAGCCTGGTGTAGACTAGCAGGCATTTAGAAAATGTTTACGAAGGAAGAAAGATGTCAGTCATCAATTGGCCGAGTGGCGCGCGCCTCACGGCGGGAAGGCCAAAAAAGCCAGCTGTCGGAAACAGGGAAACAAATCTGCGCACGTACCTGCAGACGTAGTGACATTCTTCTGGGAGATCAGGATAACTTTCTTAGTTTCCATTATCTTATCTTAACTCTACTTGGTTTAGATTACTAGACTGTTTCCAGCTTTCTTTTATAATCTTGTGATGCGTCTGATTAAGTTACACTTCTTTTAGGAGAAGAGCAAGTGGTCGGTTTTCAGTCAGAAATGTTATCTTCTACGCAGGTCTTAATAAATGTACTTCAAACACGAAATTCACGGTATTTTCTGATGGTGTTGTGTTTTAGGTGTTTCATTGTAGCAGATATTGGATCGTCAAAGCTGTTGACTAACAGCAAAATTTATTGAGAAACGCACAGTAATTAAAAAGTGATGTAATACCTTGTTCAAAGTAATTTCTCAATTTTCCAATGATGTCAATTAGCTGGTTTACCGAAGTCGAGGTTTTCTGTCATTTCTTATCGGCTCGTTATGTGTCTTTTCATACTCCCTTGAACAGTCGTAACAGGCCAAATTAAAATGGGTCAAACACCCAATGTCTACTTGAAACAGCCAAGAAATGTCCTTCAAAAGCTTCAAAATAAAAGATTTTTATTTCCTATCTATCCTAAATAATATCAGGGTTGGCCAAAAGCGTAGTATTATAACCATTATTTATACCTGAAAAATTTATCCAATGTGCCTAAAGCTCCCTCCCCCCGCAAAATTTTCTTTAACCTGAGGGGAAAATCAGAGTGTACCGTATTCCCGAAATGAGGTCCGACATCATTTGTTTTCAGGTGAAAGATACTGTATACCCAGTTTAAAAAACCCTTGTATACTGTATACAAAGACCCTGAATTTCAAAATCCGTTGATTCGCTAATGAGAACTGGAAGAAATGTCACTCTCTGTATTTGACCCATCTTTCGTTTTTTTGTAATTTAAAATAAAGACGCTGCTCTGACAAAACTCCCACTGCATTTGAGTTTAGTCGCTGCATCAAGCCAGCCGAGGGTACTACCTACATAAGCTAATTAAGGCTAATTGCGCCCCCAAAGTTTATTTCAGTACTGTAGTTATTTTTTGCTTGGTTTTGGATAATAAAGAAGCAGAATCCAATAGATTTTCGCGTGGTCACTGACTTCTTCGTATTCTTCTGTCACTTGCCACTTGTTCACACTGAGTTTGGCAAACCATAATCGTTTCCTTTCTATTGCTCTGCACTGCTAGTCGACATTGCTTCAGGTAATCCGTCTAATTAATGAATCAATTTGCCTACCGACTCAGCAGACGACCCGTCCGCATAATCCATAGAAGACTATATGTCCGGAACTATCGGCAATGTGGCTAGCAAAGTGTATCGTTTTCAGTACTCTCTAATACTTTGTTCTTTCCATTACGTTTTCTTCAATCTACAATCTATGACCTTTTATAACCACGTGATTCTTTTTAAAATTTCTCAAAGGAGATACGTAGCTTTCAGCGGCCTGTTCCGCGTTCACATCACATTTTTAGCCTCTTGGCCTTACTGAAGTAGCTATTAGTTCTAACTCGTGATCCGTCCCTGTTATTATAGGCTTATTAAACTAATGCTTATGATTCATTATGAAAATAATCTGATTATAAATTGCAAATGCTTGTAAGGTCAACTTTTAATAAAAATGTTTATATTATCATTCTTAAATTGGCTCGTGTCAGTTTAAATAAAGTCACTGTAGGCTGTAGAAACTTTTATTATAATGACGGTATCCAGGCTTGCTGTTTTAACAAAGACCAATTAACTCTTATGACAAAATAGCAAAGAACAAAGCGACTTTGAGTATTCCCAGTATTTCGAACGATCAACCCTCGAAGAAGAACGGCTTGACCGTTCGTAGTATCGGGAATACTCAAGTCGTTTCGTTTTTTGCTGTTTTGTTATTACAGTTAATTTCATTGTAGGCAAACTCTTTTTTAGAAAAGCCTTTCACAGAAATAAATATATTTTGTGTCGGTTTCAAATCAAAAAATCTACGTCCAATTGGTGTTTTTTCGAAATAAATCTATTATAACATAAAAAGAAAAACTAAGGAATGTTGCGCGGTACAGTTTTGTGTATGAGAATAATTACAATGTAGGTACACACACAGGGGAGGGGGACGGGGAAGAAATGCCAAAGGTTTGAGTATACTGAGAGCTGTGTTGTTTGGCAGGCAAGGTTATTTAACAGTTGAAGGAAAGACGGAATTCTGACACTGAGTCAGATCGCTCACTAAATTGTTTGCTTGGGTTCGTTCTCATATAAATTGTTTGGCTGTCGCAGAAAACTGCTATAGTTCAAACCCTTGTATCTGGCTAAAAGACAATTAAGTTAATTTGATGTTGCTTTTACAATAGCCCAGCCTCAGTTCATAAAAGGCCATTTTCGTGTTCCTAAAATTCATTTTGCCAGTGGCCCTCAATCAAAAGTGTGACCGGTCGGTTGATTACCCGTAAAATTTGCTCGACGATAGAAAGAAATCTTTAAAATTCATTACACCACTGGACGTTTCATTCTAAAAAAGCACCAAAGTTTCGTTTCTATAACAATAGTCATCTTAAAATCTCCAAATCCAAGAAATCGGAAAAGTATTTCCGTGATAAATTCGAAATTTTTATCCTTCTCTTCGATGACACTTCATTGCTTGCCATTTCGAAAGTCACTGACGCAACACGTGACCCCAGCCCCTGTTCCCAACCCGTAATTAAGAAGGAAATGATGAACTACGTAGTTGTTACGCCTTTTACAGCGAGATTTTCTCCGGAGATTTTCTACGTTGGAGTTCTTCGTTTTCAAATTTTCCCGTCAGCATTCCCTTCTCCCTGTGGGGTTCTTTTCCGGAGGATAATACATGAAGGAATGTCTGATCCGATAAAGTCAAACCGCCATCGCACCCGATCGGGAACAAAATGGCTTGAGCAAGAACCACTGTACAGTTATGCACTGTCCTTTTCAGTGTGAGCTAAGGTTAAAATTTGTAAACTTTTAGGGAGAGATGGGTCACACGAACGAACAGTTTAGCTGAGTTATTGATTCAACTGTCTGTTTGTTGTGCGATTACCTAAGTTTTGGACCTTAAGTGACGCTTAGTGCGGAACCACCTCTAATCAACTGTCCAAACTTCTTGAGCTCTGAAGCACAGAGCTGATGAATGGTTTCTGATACATGGGATTGGGCAAATTGTATAATGCGAACTACTAGGCTGAATTAACCAGATGTATTTTAAAGATGACGTCTGGTCGGAAGCCGACCGAAAATCAGCATGATATTGTTTTAGGTTGACACAGCCAGGTTTCTGAGGCATCCCAAAAACGAGATAGATTGTGAGGAACCAGTCACATCCAACGGACTCCTGCTGTTTCATCTTTTATTGTGTTAAACAGCTCCAGTAAATTCTTCGTCTTCAGCTTGCTGACTAAGACTTTTATAAGAAGGAAATAGTTAAGGCCAATATAACCGGCTTAATGTTAAAATGTTCTAAAAAATGTTTGCTATTATTACAACTGACAGGAGCCTATTACCAACAGGCTCCTGACCTGATTAAAGCTTCGCCAGTCGCTGTGGAAACAAATTTGTTAAGCTGTGAATTTGATTCAGTTGATTTTAGGCAAAGTTCTTCTAGCTAATGCAGAGTCAAAAGCTACAAAGAAAGAGCATTCATTGAGGATATATAGCAAATGGCGAGCGTTCTCCGGACCTTGGGAACACGGTGCGTGTTCAAAGCCGGCCAACTAACTGTGTTTTGAAGAGTGCTAAGGAAACAATGGCAGAGAAGTTCAATGGCGTCTTTCAAATATCAGATTAATACTTCGTGGGCTTGCCTTTTAGCTTGCCTTTTAGCTGTGGAACAGCGACCGCATCTCGCTACTGCTAAAAGTCGGTTTAAAAGATCGGCTGAAAAATCGGTTTAGCGGTAAACCGATTTTTCAGCCGATTTTTTAAACCGACTTTTTAAACCGATTTTTAGCAGTAGCGAGATGCGGTCGCTGTTCCACAGCTAAAAGGCAAGCCCATTATGATCGGGAACTTATGTTATTTCTTCTCTACTTTTCAGTGATTACCCTGCGCATCAGAGCATTGATGGATTAGCTTTAGTACAAACCAATATTTGTATAATGGCTTATCTTTTTTTCTGGTTTCTTATAACGCAATTATCATTGTCGTCTTAGGTTAATGCGATTTCAATAATTATGTTATCATGATCAGAGCACTCTGGCAATAGTCTCATTCACATTGACATAACACATTTCCAGTTAACCTCTTTAGAGTGAAGCTGGGAGAGACCGGCCATTTAGCCGTATCAAACGTGGAATATCAGAATACTGAGCACAAAAATTAGAGTTTCGTCAAATGAGTTAGTTGATAACGCAGGTGTTTTCTGGGGTCACGTGACAACTCTTAGGCCAATTGTACATTAGCGCGCCGTCTGCCTACCCGGCTGTTCCCTGAACGTTCACTGCTTTGAACGGCTTGGAAACTA